TCATTTACATTTAGTGAAAAAAAAATTCTGATCAAATAATGACGTATCTCGTGACGTCTTTTACCTTTAGGTAATGGTAAGGGGGCTTTTTTTTTTTTTTTTTGTTTTTTCCTTGTATCTGAAGGCTGTGGATCTAATTTACGCATAATTTAACAAATATTAGAATCTTGAAACTCCTGATCAAGTAAGCATTTCGATGGTCAATCTTATTAACAATTTTAGGGATTTGAATTTAAAAAATCATGTTAAATCTAAATACAGTATTTTTATTTATTCTATAAAAATCATAATGAGTCAACTTATATGCACTTTGATTATTCTCTCATGATATTGATTTCAATGATCAGATAAACATTCAATGATTATCCTTATTAGAAGTCGTAGAGATTTGAATATCATAATTTGATTTTTGATTTAATTACAACTGTTAATTTATCTCTCATTTCCATCATGGGATTACTCCATTCCAATGTTGGAAAATAAAGGCAACCATAGCCTCTGCTAAAATAGGAAGGTTCCAGAACTAAATATTCTCTACTTGCTACATCCAAATATTTTATAGTTTTAATTATGCTGATTAATTGACCCAGGTCAGAAATAAATAAATCATTTAATTAAATTTCACCGGAACAAACTTCAAAACGAAAAATTAAATACAGTTCACCGAAAATTTAGTTTAGTACATAAAAAGAGGGTCACGTGAATATGCACGTGATGTGCATTGGTGAAGCAGCAAGGGGAGGCCGCGGCAGCGGCGGGGGAAGCGCGTTGGCTGTGTGTGTGTGCGACCTTGGTGTGTGTTTCCAAAGTAGAGCCAAGCAAGTGACGGTGAAAAGTGAAAAAGAATGATGGGAGCTGAACAATAAGCAGCGACTGTCGGCATCCTCAGGTACTGCCACGTGCTTTTGTTTTGAGTGCGTCAACTCTGCGTCTGCAAGACAGCAGGGATGGAGGAAAGGAAAAGATAAAGAACTTCACCAGCTCCTTTCTTCTAGTAGCCCTTTTGCCTATATTTTCTATTCTGGAAAAGATTTTCGGCTGTCATATTAAGTTACAGCAAGCAAATCCTTTTGACTATATTTGACCACCTTTATTATTTGTTTGGATGGTGAACGAGCTATGGTCGGCTTCACATTTAGTTTTCTTCAAATAAACTCAATTATTTTAATTTAATATATATATATATATACGACATTTTTTTAGTTTGAATCTCCGTCAAATTGTCGGTGTAATATGCCTGCATCTTCTATGGTTGTTTTTGGGACATAATAATATAGTCAAAGATGGTACTTGGTAGAACATGGCTGCCTATCTATTTATTTAATTTTAATACATATGGAATATTACGTGGATTGATGATTAGAGCCAAGATTTTTTCAGTTCTAAATTTCTAATACGACTTTTCTTTTGTATATTATTTAAAGCTCATCCCGGACGGCCGGAGGATATTATCGGATTTTGGGTTTTACGGATGGAATATACTCCAGTTGCCATTGTATTAATAGAAGATTAATTCGAGGGTTTTTTTTAGAAAAGATTCGCTCTTCTTAACTTTATGTAAAATAATTAATGGAAAAATAAAAAGATTAACTAATTATAGTCACAGGGATTTATCTCCATTGGAGCTATGTTCTTAGGTATGGTATTTTGAATAATTGGTTGAGGCGAAGGTGAAAAATTATATATGTTTAAATTGAAAAAGGGGGAAAAATAGTTAAAAAAATCATTTTGATTATGTAATAAATAATTTTTTTTTTACATTGTTTCAACAGTTTTTAAATTCTCAACGGTGTCGCATCGTGTTGCCAAACTTAAGGATGAAAATCGAGTCGAGTGGCTTGCAAGCTACTCGATGTTGGCTCAAACTCATCGAGTCGAGTTCAAGTAGTTAATCGAGTCGAGTACGATAACAGTAGAACTTGACTTGATATGTTCGTGAGTATTTCCAAACTCAATGATTAAGTTGACAGTTTTTAAATTAATAGGGATCATATGTAATTTAAAAGTTATAAAATTTATAAATCCACCCCTATCAGATGAGCTCAAAATCAAGTTCGAACTCGATTTAAAACTAGACTAAAACTAAAAAAAAAACTTGATTATACGAATTTGATTTCTAATTTTAAGTACTAAATTTGAGTTTAAACTTAATTTTTGAGGCTTGAACTAGAACTCGAAGTCAGTACTATAATGATTAAGCCGAGTTCGATTTACCATATACTTAACCATTAATGTTTGTTCTATTTTCACTACTAAAACCAAAAATGGTATACTGTATTTTTATTCTCTGCAGTAAAACTAGTGTACAATTTAATGATAATGGGAAAATCTTTTTTATTTTTTGGCATACATTGAGATGAAGTGAGGACAAATTGTACTCATAATGTACGGGTAGGCCTCTCTCCCTTACACCAAAACGACATGACACGAATGACAGTTGGATGGCCACGTTGACAAAATGTTAAATTACGGTGTGTTGCGTTTGGCTTTATTTGTGACTCATCACAAAAGGACTATTAAATTGTACAGATAAAAGTCACATTAGCTGTCAATGGTACTATTCCTATTCAGGCGGCACCCTTAATCTCTTTTTATAATTTTGACGCAAACCCATTATAAATTTATCATTTGAAAACTATCACATGAGAAAAAATTATAACGTTTTCTTATTATGTTATAACAAACACAATACAATCATTATATTTTTACTCAGAATATGGGGCTATTAATTAAATTTGAACATTTATATACAAAATCCATTGTACATGTTTCTCACTCTATTTATTTTAATTATTAAATTAAATTTGTATCCTGTGATATTAGGTGGAGTGAATCCATCTATTGTACGACTATATCTTATTTATTTTGTTTGTATTCAATAATACTTATATTATTCAACAAATGAAATTATAGTCATTTGCGTACATTTACATTCATTCATACACGTGTTTCAAATTTAATAATGGAATAAACTTTATAATTAATTAAATTCTTTTTGCAACCAATTAGCTAATGTGGCAAACAATGTATAAGTGAAACTTTCCCCTTTTTCGCCTATTCAACATATTCATGTATATAAAGGAATATGGTTTACCATTTATGGTGCATTTGAGAGCTTATTGATGTTAATAAAGTTAACAATCGCTTTCTATTTTGTAGTCGAATTACATATTTCCCTTTTTATTATAAAATTTAAAAATAATTACAATATAAATGGCTGAGATCTTCTAAATTAAAAACCATAACTTATACTATAGTATTACTCTTTCATATATGACTTTTAATTTAAACAATTAGATGAAGAGGAATGAATATATAAAAATCTCCTTCTTGTAATTATGAAAGGTTAGGCCCATAAAAAAATCACTGCAATATGATGGGCTATATCACCAACCGCAGAAGTCCATGGGCCCATCAAATTCCTTCTCAAATATGATTTTGACACAATATTCGAAATAGACAGCCACCACTCCATAATTGATGAACCAGTGGGTCCGCCCCCCAATTCACCGTATAGGAATTTGCCGACCTAGAAATGTCAACATCTCAAAAGATAAAACGTGGATTTTGAACCGTCCGATCAAATGGTCAAATAGAGGGAATGAAAAGGCGAAGAGGCGGTGAGGGACCATGGACTGTGGAGGGACCGGTGGATATGCGGCATCTACAGAGTCTCCGACAGGATCTTGTGGGGGGGCGCACGTGTGAGTAGAAGTTGGATTACTGGCATACTAAAGTGAAGCACGTGCTGGTTAAGAGTCAAATACAAAGAAAGGGAAATGGTGTTGTTTTCTGAGTTTCTGACACAGATTCGTGTTCGTGCTGAGTCCACCCGCAATCTTTAAAAGGTTGTAATGATATATCACTTTTAAAGTTGGGTCAGGTACCTCTTTTTTATTGGTACATGTAACGCAATAATTTTTTGCTGTCAATGGAAAGTATTCAATTATATAATTAATATAATTATATCAAAATTGATACGATGTCGTAATTCTAATGCATTTCATTTGAAGGTACTTTTTGGGGTTCTAGTCAAAAGCCGCAAATGGGTTTGGTTATAAGATGTATTATTAAATTTTGAAAGGTGATTGCCGAAAGGAAGATCTAATTTGAAGATTGTGTAGGCAAATATCCAGAATGATTCTTTGTTAAAACAATCAACACGATCATTTGCTCATGTCTTACCTAAATAATGTCTATATTCGTGGTGAATAGAAAACAAACTCGTTATAGACTGTTAGGTCTTTTGAAAATGAGAGGTCGATAAATCTTTTAATGATAAAAAATTAGATTTTGATGGTTAGAATTGATCAAAATTTGACTTGGGAGAGGTGCTGCACAAACCCTAATATTTTCAATTGTCGACGATTGACAAGGTCGACGAAAGTAGGGTTTGAGGGATTTTGGTGAGTAATAATCGGAAAAGAAAATGGTGGTAATGTGAGGTCGCAACAATGCACTAATATAAATTTAGGTAATAAAGTGGTATTTTAAAAGTCTGAAGACGGAAAGTATCATTAATCCGTTATTTGAGTGGGAAAAAATTGTTTACTCAACTTCAACAGGGCCATTTTAGGTGGTTGGTTGTCACTGGTGAAAGTGTCATCCACAGTCTCAAGTGTATCGGACCCAACCGGCAACCACCAACCACCAAATCTTAAGTACCTAAAAGAGGTAAAATTGTGATTAAAAAAAGTTTAGAATATAGACGTGGATAATCCTTTGCGGACATGATTTTTCCAAGTACTGGTTAGAGAAGATTTATCACCAACTTCTATAGAGTTCTTAAATAATTTACTTTCTGATAAAAGGTGAGGCTAAATATCATCACTCCCAGGTATATTATCTAGACAAATTTTAGAGACCCAATCCTAAAACAAAGAGTGTAATATTGAAAACAATAAATAAGTTGGGTTTATTTAATAAATGGAGAGGAAGATAACATACAAAAATTACTCTGAAAAGCAATTGGCATTAGAGAACACCTGGTGACATGTATATATATGCTCACCAACCAAACTTTATGATCTTAAAATATCAATCCAATATCATGTTTCCAACTTCATCATCTTTCTTAAGTTAAAACAATATATAAAACATAAGCCCAAAATAAGACTCTCTTAAGTCCATCGAATCATATTAGTCTCTGTGCACAGTCCATTGTCGACTGTGTTCATTTGCGCTAGATGGCTAGACCCATCAACCGACAGGCTTTGCATGGATCCTCAAGTTAATTAAAAACCAAAGAACTCCTAGTTTCATTCAATTTGTCAGGACCCCATAAACAATGTCCCTTGGTCCTTTCGAGACTGCAATAGAAGCAAAAACATTAATAATGTTTCTTTGTAATACATAAGATGCAGGCCTACTTCTTCCATCAAATTTCCCCCGTCCATTTCCCCTTCCCTTCTCCTTGTGCCAGTGTGGAATAACATACTATACATATATGTTACCCTGAAAATCATAGCCGCCTCTGGAATTCATGGTCATCATAATCATTAAGTTTCAAGCCTTTAATGAGAAACATTAAAAGAAAATAAGAAAGTCAACAAATATTTCAAAAACAATGGTCCTCTACCATATTTGTATCCTCCCGCTCACATTTTGTTCCTCGAAGCTTTATGTAACTTTGAGGGTTGTTACCTTCTATTAATAAACACTACTCTTAAAACTCTATGCACCTTTCGGAAATTCCTAATTTCTGTAGTTTTATCTCCAAAAATTTATTCCAGCCTCTTCAGGGGATTTCAAAAATTTCTGTATTGATGGTTATTCCAAAAACATTCTAGTTTCTCAGCGTAGCCGTCCTACATGATTTGAAGTTCGTGTACTATTCTTCTAGAAAGTTTCCAAGAATCTAAACAATTTTTACCCTCCAAATATGTGTATATAACGATCGCTCTTGCTTCTTCACGTTATCCATCCTGGCTAAAGAAGGTTTGCTTTCCAGACTTTAGTTATATGAAGACTAAGCATTACCCTCTTCCCTTGGAGTGCTCATTACCAGTAATCCTTGCAGGAGCATTTCCCTCCCTCAAAATGATGGAACCTGTTAGAATCTCTCACTATAATAGGGCGTCCAATAATTTTAGACACAAACTTCATAAAGACATGGCAGTCGCCACAAACTCGAATGTTCTTCATAATCCGTATGGGTGTCACTCCATGAGGTCTTTTGATCAAACCAAATGCCAAAGCAAGTTTCTCACTGTGGTAACATATAGATTCAAACTTGTCTTCCTCCCTCACATCATGTAGAACCAATTTTGTATTAGGAGTAAAGCCAGCTTCCTGTAACTTCTTGATCAGTCTTCTTAGTTCTTTGTATATAATTTCAGTTTCTGGATGCGTTCGATCCTCTGATACAAACTTGTGGACCTTGTTATCTATTTCAATCCAACTGTAAGCAGCAAACTTCTTAGCATTCTTGTTTTTCATGAGAGACCTAATGGAAGCCACTTCTTCCCATCTTCCACAAGCAGCATACATGTTGGAAAGCATGATGTAAGGACCAGCATTGAGTGGTTCTAATTCAAAGAGACACCTAGCAGCCATCTCACCATGCTTGATGTCACCTTTTACAGCACAAACAGATAAAAGTGTGGACCAAATTAGGGAATTCGGTCCATGGGGCATGCTTTTAATCAGATCCACCGCTTTATCAATTTCACCTGAACGACCAAGGAGATTAACCATGCAGGCATAATGATCCAGAGATGGTGTTAATCCATGGAGTTCACTGATTGAATTAAAATATGTTTGCCCATGCTCAAATAAACCAGTATGGATACAAGCACATAGAACAGCCACAAAGGTAAAACCATCTGGTTTTAAGTTTTCTTGCAGCATTTTTTCATACAGATTCAAAGCCTCTAAATCTTGTCCATTTTGTGCATAACCATTGATCATGGAATTCCAAGAAACAACATTTCTTACTGACATCATATTGAATGCGATCTGAGCATCATTAGTAACTCCACATTTACAATACATATCAACAAGGGCACTAGACACTTGCAAATCGTCATCAACCCCCAAAAGAACTGCTTTCCCATGAACAACCTGACCATGATGGAGAGTCGCTAGTTTGGCACATGAACTAACCACACTTGAGACAGTAAAACAGTCGGGCCTTACATCTTCTAATAGCATCTCACCAAACAACCTCAAAGCATCCTCTTCCTTCCCATGTTGTGCATAACCAACAATCATTGTCGTCCAACAAACCTTATCCTTTTCTCTAATTACACAGAATAACTTGTCTGCCTCATCTATACACCCAATTTGAAAGTAAGCCGCAAGAACATTTGAAACTGTAACGTCATCTGGTCTCAAGCCCAACACCTGCATTTCATGAAACAAATCAATACATTTCCCAGGCTGCCCATTTCTCAGATATCCAGAAATCATCAAATTCCATGAAACCACGTTCTTATTATTCATTTGATTGAACAGCCACCTTGCTTTATCAATCTCTCCACACTTTGCATACATATCAGTAAGAGAATTCCAAACAAAAGCATTACCTCCCAAATTACGAACAACAATCTTCCCATGAATCTGCTTCCCGCGCCTCAAATCCAATAATTGTGCACATGCATTTAATGCGCTCACGTGAGTATAATCGGAAGGCTCAAATCCATCTTCTTGCATTCTCAAAAAGATCTCCAATGCCTCATGCGAACAACTTTTACTTGCAAAACCCGCAATCACTGTGTTATACGAAACAGAATCACGAAACGGCATTTGACTAAATACTGCTTTCAAATCCTCGATCGACCCGGATTTTGCATACGCAGAAAGCATAGCATTCCAAGAAAAAATATCTCTTTTCGGCATTTTGTCAAACAGGTTGCGAGCGTAAGATAACTTCCCCGCTTTTGCATACAAATGAAGGAGACGATTTTCGAGGAATGTGTTGGTGGGTTGATATGAATGGAGTTCCATATGGGCCTCCAATCTCTTGGCTTCTTCAACATCACCGGCTCGTGCACATTGGAGCACGAGGCGAGTGTATGCTTCTTCATTGGTAACTTGGCCACGACAGTAAAGTGAGTCGATAACTTGGCGGAGTTTGTGCTTGGCTTTCATTATTTTGTGGGTTGTTGAAATTTAAATTACAGTTTTCTGTTATGTGGGTCAAGTGTTATGGCGCCTTATTGCAACACTATTAACACTCCAGTGTTATGTAAGTGTGACACTAGCAAAAATATCTGAATATAATAAATTACATAATTCATTTATTATAATGTTAAATTTATGATTCAATCCCATTTTAATTTCAATAAATTCGAAATTTCATATTTATGATAGAAGAAAGGCTTTATTGAGTTTTATAAAAACTGAATAGGTTTCATTAAATAATGATAATAATAGCTCACCATCACATGCTACTAAATTAAAATTTAACCTTCCAAGTTTTAATATTACTTTCTCTTTTTCTTTTTTGTGATCAGATTGTTCAAGTCCGTTGTTACACTCTGACTAACCTTAGGAGTTAATGATCGAGTAAGCTTTCAATAGTCACTTATTAGCGATCGGGTAAATCTCTATAGTCACTTAACCTCTTAAGTAATACATTCAAAATTTTAATTGACCACTCACCACGCGTGGTATTTCTCGTATTCTTCTTAACTTCAAGGTTTTTGTTTGATTTTCATTCCTATACTGTGCAATGGGAAATGGTAATTACTTGTCTTTTCTAACAATCATTAACCTAATCACATTAATTAATTATGAGTAATACTATATCTATGATTTTTTATGTAATATTTTTTAACATATAAAATAATTGATGAAAGTTATTTTAAATTAATTCAATTAAATTTTTTACCGTGATGTATATTAGGATTATGCATTAATTGTTATTAAATCTTTTTTCTGTCAACTGTCTCATTCACACTAAAATTAATTTAGGTTATGATATGATTATTTGACAGTCAGTTGAAAAACTTTGGATTTGACCGTAACTCAACCCAAAAATCAAAATATCTGAGCAAGTCCAAATGTCAATTAGCAGCCAATCAAATCACCACAAATACAACAAAACTGCCAAATGAAAAATGTCCCATTACTTGCAGGCCTTTTCTTCTTTTCGGCTTTTGGTATTTTGAGCTCGATAAAATACATATATTACAATTTATTCATTATTAGCTGGACTCACAATAACATGTCAAGTGATTGAAGATGAGAGCTTTTTAATGTATTCTTCTGTCCATGCTAATATATGTATAAGAAAAATTATAATAAGTTTAGATACAAACGCCTAAGTGTATGATAATTCAAAAAATAATAAAGAAAGTGTTGAAAGTTTGGCATCTTTGTTTGTGTCAATCTAGTCCGAACACACTAATTAATTATAAATGTAGTAGGTCGCCAGGGCCAAGTCTATAAAAATCAAAATCTCAGGTGGACCAAACCAAAATCTTAAAACACCATAATAAATATTGGTATTTAGTAAACTTGTCCCCTTAGTGTAATTCATTAGAAAATGATGGTTGGAAATTGGAATTAGTAGTTTGATAAAGGAAAAGGAAGGGAAGTGATTGGATAAATTTGTTAGTTGGCACTTACGTCGTCATCATTCTTTCACGCGTCATTTCAACAATTATTTAATACATAAATCTTTTTATTTTAAAATATGAAATAATTAATTAAGGTTATATTGTCAATGTTACTATCGGAATTGACCGGTTAACTGAATATTCTACAACTTATAAGTTAATTAGAAAAGGTCAAAATAGTATTTACATACCTAATCTTATAGGAAATACTAATCATGAATTAAAGTTGTTAAGTTAGCTTATCCATTATTGTCCTCATAAGATGTTATTTTAACAACTTATAAGTTAATTAGAAAAGGTCAAAATAGTATTTACATACCTAATCTTATAAGGAAAATACTAATGAATAATATTAGCTTAGCTTATCATACTTTCCTCATAAGATGTTAATTATTTAATATTATAATAAAAGGAAGGCTTATAATTGAAGAAATTTCCGCACACGGCGCTGACTCAGTTTCAGACCAGAGTCAATTCACCCACAACTCAACCCAACGTCTCATCCTCACATTATTAACAGCACATTTCACAAACACTCACTCTCCAAATTTTTCTTTGTTCTGTAAAGTATCAATCTCTCTTTCCTTTAACATCAAGCAAGAATCAATATCATATTAATAACTCTTTCTTGCTGCTTAGACTTTTTCTTTGTTATACATATAATGAACTATGTCTCATTTGTTCAAGGACAAACCATTAGGACACTCCAACGAAACGCTCATACGAATGCCCGTTTACCCCAATTATGATTTTGCCTCACCTTTGCTCAGGCCGCTCCGAGTTTATCGGACTCCGACCTCCGAGAAACCGTTACGAAATTATTGTTGCCGCATGTCGGAGTCCGGATTGAGGCCGTTGACGTACATCCCGCAGTCGGAGAGGACTGAACGGCAACCCACTCCGGCTTTGACGCCCTCGCTGCAGCGATCTCTGACTTCGACTGCTGCCAGCAAAGTTAAGAAGGCGCTGGGGATGAAATCGGCGAAGAAGAGAGGTGCTGACTCGGTGAATCAAGGGCGAGTTAAGCGTGCTGTAACGACTGGGGAGCTGGTGAGGGTGCAGATGCGCGTGACCGAGCAGACTGATTCCAGGATCAGGAGAGCGTTACTGAGAATTGCTTCTGGTCAGGTGAGTCTGAAATTTTTCTTTTTGGTTGGTGAGAAAGTGAAAGGAAAATGGAATACTTATAGTGTTTTTTAATTAATTTTGTAATTTTTGGTTTGTTTCTATTGATGTGAAGAAGAAGTACTTGTGTGGATAGCTTTGTTGAGGAAATGTTAGAAAACAATTGCATATTTTATTACTAAAATTGAAAATTCAGAAATTCATTATTATTATTCAGGTTTAATTTGGTGAGGCTTTCTTCTACATGGGTGAAACAAATTGCTATTTTGTACTCTTTATATATGTCGTTTCTGGTAACTAAGTTGAGTTTCATAATCTTCTATACTCGAGGCTTAATTTTAAGTCTTTCTTTAAAGGCCCATGGACTTGGCTTCTTACTATGTGCTTTTATCAGCTTGGAAAACGCATAGAATCAATGGTTCTGCCACTGGAGCTATTGCAGCAGCTCAAGTCTTCGGATTTTCCGAATCAGCAAGAATATGAAGCTTGGAAGAGGAGACATTTCAAGCTTCTTGAAGCTGGACTCCTTTTGCATCCTCACCTCCCGTTAGATAACACCAATTCTGCTCCACAGCGATTTCGGCAAATTATTCATGGGGCATTAGAAAGACCTTTGGAAACTGGAAAGAACAGTGAATCAATGCAAGTTCTCAGAAATGCTGTTATGTCTCTTGCTTGCAGATCATTAGACGGATCTGTTTCTGAGAAATGCCACTGGGCAGACGGATTGCCACTAAATCTCAGAATTTACCAAATGCTTTTAGAAGCTTGTTTTGATGTTAATGAAGAAACATCTGTTATTGAAGAGGTTGATGAGGTTCTAGAACTTATAAAGAAGACATGGGGGATCCTTGGAATTGACCAAATGCTGCATAATCTTTGTTTCTGCTGGATTTTATTTCACAGATATGTTGCAACTGGCCAAGTGGAAAATGACCTTATATATGCTGCCAATAATCTGCTGGTGGAAGTTGAAAAAGATGCCAAGGCAACCAAGGATGCAGATTATTCCCAGATCTTGAGTTCAATATTGAGTACAATGTTGGGTTGGGCGGAAAAAAAGCTTCTTGCTTACCATGATACTTTCCAAACTGATAATATTGATTCCATGCAAAGTGTTGTTTCTGTGGGGATTTTAGCAGCCAAGATGTTAGTAGAAGATGTCTCTCAAGAGTATCCTAGAAAGAAAAAAGAAGTTAACGTGGCTCGTGATAGGGTCGACAGCTACATAAGATCTTCGTTACAGATTGCTTTTGCTCAGGCAAGCTTCCTTCATTTCAGCATATTCCCTCAAGTTTCATGAAAGTTTACATCGTTATTTTGCACTAAATTTATTTGATTTCCTATGGCAGAAATTGAAGAAGGTGAAATCTAGCAAGCGTTCATCTAAAAGCCAGCAAAGTCATCTACCTCTTCTTTCCATCCTAGCACAGGACGCTAGTGACCTGGCTTTTGATGAGAAAGTGAAATTTAGCCCTATACTGAAGAGATGGCACCCTCTTGCAGCAGGCACTGCAGTTGCCACCCTTCATTCTTGCTATGGAAACGAGCTGAAGCAATTTGTCTCAGGCATTTCTGAGTTGACACCTGACGCTATTCAAGTGCTGTTAGCTGCTGACAGATTGGAGAAAAATCTTGTGCAAATTGCAGTTGAAGATTCGGTAGACAGTGAGGATGGTGGGAAGTCAATAATACGGGAGATGCCTCCTTATGAGGCTGAAGCTGTAATTGCCAATCTGGTGAAGTCATGGATAAGTACTAGAGTGGACAGACTGAAGGAATGGGTTTACAGGAATCTGCAACTAGAGGTATATTGGTTTCCTTTGAGTATCTAAGTACAGAATTAATGGAATGGAATGATTGAGGAATGAGGACCCATAATTGAGGATACCATTGTTTTGATGTTAATTTCTTGTGTTTTAGTTCAAGTTTCTGCCTTTAGACATTGTCTTCAACTACTAATATTACGCATGAATGTTGTCTAATATTGCAATGACACCAGTAATTGGACAAGGCGTCTTTTTGTTTTCTGTTTTCTTTTGTTTTTGTGTGTTTTTTTTTTTTTTTTTTTTTTTAGTTCCTAATCAATTATTTCTGTGTTATAGCAGACTCTAACATTGATTAGCAAACTTTTCTCTTTTCTTTTGCTGTTTTCAGACCATTCCAAACTATTTATGTGAAATGTATTTTTAGACTAATTGCTTAACCTAACTTGTCCACCATTTTTCTGCAGGTTTGGAATCCACGGGCAAATAAAGAGCGATTTGCTCCTTCTGCTGTTGAAGTCCTCCAAATTGTAGAAGAAACTTTGGAAGCATTCTTTATGCTGCCAATACCTTCACATTTGGTGTTGCTTCCTGAATTATTGGCTGGTCTTGATGCATGTCTTCAACAATACATATTGAAGGCGAAATCTGGCTGTGGTGAGTTTAGATAGCTTGTAAATTGTTTAGTTTTAGATCTTCGTAATAACGTTAAATTCTTTCTCAATTTGCAGGGAGCCGAAATACTTTTATTCCCACTTTGCCCGCTCTAACTAGGTGTGCAACAGGATCGAAATTTGGTGTGTTCAAAAGGAAGGAAAAGTTGCAAATAGCACAGAAGAGGAAATCCCAGGTTGGGACTGTAAATGGGGACAACTCTTTTGGGATACCCCAATTATGTTGTCGCGTTAATACTTTCCAGCATATTCGGACAGAGTTGGAGGTCTTGGAGAAGAGGATAGTTAACCATATAAGGAATTCCAGATCCACTCATGCGGACAACATTGTTAATGAAATGGAGAAAAAGTTTCAGCTTTCAGCCTCTGCTTGTGTGGAAGGGATTCAACAACTCTGTGAGGCAGCTGCCTACAAAGTCATCTTCCATGATTTAAGTCATGTTCTTTGGGATGGCTTGTATGTTGGGGAAGTTTCATCATCTTGGATCGAACCATTTCTTCAGGAGCTGGAGCACTATTTGGAAATTATTTCATCAACAGTGCATGACAGAGTCAGGACGCGTGCAATCACTGATATTATGAAAGCTTCTTTTGAAGGGTTCCTGTTGGTTTTGCTCGCTGGAGGTCCTTCTCGAGCCTTCACTCTTAAAGATTCTGAAATACTAAAGGAGGATTTTAAGTTTCTTATGGATCTGTTCTGGTCCAATGGGGATGGATTGCCGACTGAATTAATAGATAAGTATTCAACCTTAGTCAAACGTGTTCTCCCATTATACCATAATGATACTGAGAACCTAATTGAGCAATTCAAACATTTGACTTTGGAAAGTTATGGTTCTTCTGCTAAATCTAGACTTCCATTACCTCCAACTTCAGGGCAATGGAGTCCCACAGAACCAAACACTGTCCTGCGAGTTTTATGTTATCGGAGTGATGAGATAGCTGCAAAATTCCTGAAGAAGACTTACAATTTGCCTAAGAAATTGTAATGACAAGATGATGCTCTTTAGGTTGAAAATCACGGTGGATCATTCTTGACTTCTAGTAACCCTTAGATATTTATTACATCACCATAAATCAAAATTTCATACAGCATGCCATACTACAGGGGGCGTTGGTTAGAGATTGCACTTTGTAGACAAATTATACAGCTTTTTGTATAGTAGTTTAATTGACTGGATTCTTTTTCTTCAAAGCCTTCGCCAGTTGTCAAGGAAGTTAATAAGATCATGGACCTAGCGCTTTGGTGTACAGTACCAGTTGGGCAATAAGACTTGAGGATCTATAAATATGAAGAATGGACGGACAAGGTGAGGTTCTTTGGCTTCTTACAATTTTTTCGTATGTTTTCCAGAGGAAAGTGATGAACCATAGGTTGCTAACATGGAGGGTCTGTAATTTGAAGAAATTTGTTTTGATTTTGTAGATGCATTATTTATATGTGTTTGTTGTCAAATGTTTACAACAATGATCTTCGCTGGAAATATAAAGCCATGGCTTTGGAATGCCTTTGCCTGTTACAGGCTTACAGCAACAAAACAAAAATGCTGTTTGAATAGTTTGAAACTTTGAATACATCAGTGACTTGTTATTGTAGGCTCATACCCTATGTTATTAAAACAAAGAAGCAGCCAACGCTGTTTAATAGATATACCTAAAAACAGTGATAAAACAATTGAAATTCAAGTCAAGGTTCTACTTAGGCGTCGACTGTTTCTGATTTTGAATATTTGGATTAATGAGGCAACAATAATAGTTTTAAACAGTATCAGATTTAGTGNGGACCCATAATTGAGGATACCATTGTTTTGATGTTAATTTCTTGTGTTTTAGTTCAAGTTTCTGCCTTTAGACATTGTCTTCAATTACTAATATTACGAATGAATGTTGTCTAATATCACAATGACACCAGTAATTGGACAAGGCGTCTTTTTGTTTTTTGTTTTCTTTTGTTTTTGTGTGTTTTTTTTTTTTTTTTTTTTTTTAGTTCCTAATCAATTATTTCTGTTTTATAGCAGACTCAAACATTGATTAGCAAACTTTTCTCTTTTCTTTTGCTGTTTTCAGACCATTCCAAACTATTTATGTGAAATGTATTTTTAGACTAATTGCTTAACCTAACTTGTCCACCATTTTTCTGCAGGTTTGGAATCCACGGGCAAATAAAGAGCGATTTGCTCCTTCTGCTGTTGAAGTCCTCCAAATTGTAGAAGAAACTTTGGAAGCATTCTTTATGCTGCCAATACCTTCACATTTGGTGTTGCTTCCTGAATTATTGGCTGGTCTTGATGCATGTCTTCAACAATACATATTGAAGGCGAAATCTGGCTGTGGTGAGTTTAGATAGCTTGTAAATTGTTTAGTTTTAGATCTTCGTAATAACGTTAAATTCTTTCTCAATTTGCAGGGAGCCGAAATACTTTTATTCCCACTTTGCCCGCTCTAACTAGGTGTGCAACAGGATCGAAATTTGGTGTGTTCAAAAGGAAGGAAAAGTTGCAAATAGCACAGAAGAGGAAATCCCAGGTTGGGACTGTAAATGGGGACAACTCTTTTGGGATACCCCAATTATGTTGTCGCGTTAATACTTTCCAGCATATTCGGACAGAGTTGGAGGTCTTGGAGAAGAGGATAGTTAACCATATAAGGAATTCCAGATCCACTCATGCGGACAACATTGTTAATGAAATGGAGAAAAAGTTTCAGCTTTCAGCCTCTGCTTGTGTGGAAGGGATTCAACAACTCTGTGAGGCAGCTGCCTACAAAGTCATCTTCCATGATTTAAGTCATGTTCTTTGGGATGGCTTGTATGTTGGGGAAGTTTCATCATCTTGGATCGAACCATTTCTTCAGGAGCTGGAGCACTATTTGGAAATTATTTCATCAACAGTGCATGACAGAGTCAGGACGCGTGCAATCACTGATATTATGAAAGCTTCTTTTGAAGGGTTCCTGTTGGTTTTGCTCGCTGGAGGTCCTTCTCGAGCCTTCACTCTTAAAGATTCTGAAATACTAAAGGAGGATTTTAAGTTTCTTATGGATCTGTTCTGGTCCAATGGGGATGGATTGCCGACTGAATTAATAGATAAGTATTCAACCTTAGTCAAACGTGTTCTCCCATTATACCATAATGATACTGAGAACCTAATTGAGCAATTCAAACATTTGACTTTGGAAAGTTATGGTTCTTCTGCTAAATCTAGACTTCCATTACCTCCAACTTCAGGGCAATGGAGTCCCACAGAACCAAACACTGTCCTGCGAGTTTTATGTTATCGGAGTGATGAGATAGCTGCAAAATTCCTGAAGAAGACTTACAATTTGCCTAAGAAATTGTAATGACAAGATGATGCTCTTTAGGTTGAAAATCACGGTGGATCATTCTTGACTTCTAGTAACCCTTAGATATTTATTACATCACCATAAATCAAAATTTCATACAGCATGCCATACTACAGGGGGCGTTGGTTAGAGATTGCACTTTGTAGACAAATTATACAGCTTTTTGTATAGTAGTTTAATTGACTGGATTCTTTTTCTTCAAAGCCTTCGCCAGTTGTCAAGGAAGTTAATAAGATCATGGACCTAGCGCTTTGGTGTACAGTACCAGTTGGGCAATAAGACTTGAGGATCTATAAATATGAAGAATGGACGGACAAGGTGAGGTTCTTTGGCTTCTTACAATTTTTTCGTATGTTTTCCAGAGGAAAGTGATGAACCATAGGTTGCTAACATGGAGGGTCTGTAATTTGAAGAAATTTGTTTTGATTTTGTAGATGCATTATTTATATGTGTTTGTTGTCAAATGTTTACAACAATGATCTTCGCTGGAAATATAAAGCCATGGCTTTGGAATGCCTTTGCCTGTTACAGGCTTACAGCAACAAAACAAAAATGCTGTTTGAATAGTTTGAAACTTTGAATACATCAGTGACTTGTTATTGTAGGCTCATACCCTATGTTATTAAAACAAAGAAGCAGCCAACGCTGTTTAATAGATATACCTAAAAACAGTGATAAAACAATTGAAATTCAAGTCAAGGTTCTACTTAGGCGTCGACTGTTTCTGATTTTGAATATTTGGATTAATGAGGCAACAATAATAGTTTTAAACAGTATCAGATTTAGTGAAAATTCTAAAAATAAATTAAACATATATTTTTTTGTTATGGCGGGTGTCCAGATCAGTTTACACACACCTTAATTAAGCCTTCAAGAGTCAAGACCCTAAAACTATCGATCGGATAAAAATTCCAATGACTATTGCTATTAGCAATCGAAGAGAAACTCGAATTCAAGACCTTTTAAGTAATACACCCACAAGTCTCTATTGAAGATCGAACCATTTAATCATTCAGAGAGTTAGATTTTAAGATTCATTTTTTTTTTTTTTAAAACAAAAATAATGACTGATGTTACAATTGCAAACTAACCATACAAATTCTTGAACGTAATTTGAGCTGAAATATTGCAGAATATAAAAATTGGTGATCTCAATTAATATTCTTGTTTCTTATATCAATTCATCGTTTCTCTAGACTTCCTTGTGCTTGTGAAGCGTCCTGATACTGTGATACAGGGTTGAAAGCTTATAATGTAATCAAATACAAAATACACAACCTTTCTTACACAAAAATTGAGAAAAAAGGTACTCACAGATGCATTTATAAAGGACTTGGATTTATGGAAATATGATTGTTGAATCATCATAGATAATATTTCAGTATAATATTACAATGTACTGAAAATCTGCCATAAAATGTTCAACACTAGGCTTTAGAAACAACATGCAAGTATGTAACGTTTGGACAAACAGCCTTGTGTCATCTAATTTTGTCTTACTAATAGCAATGATATATGCGACAACAGAAACATGATTGAATGATTCTAGAAAAAGGACACAATTAATCCAACCAGTACATAATCGGCCCGCTACATCTTGTTGAATGAGAATGAGTGAGAATGACTTAATGGCTAACATGGGTAAATAAACCTTCATAATCAAGCATTTCTGATTTTCTATAGTATATTAATTCTTTAGGTAAGTCAAAAAAAAAAAAAAAAAAAAAGGGTAAATATTGTAAATGAAAACAAATCCTTACTAAAAATTGAATGCAAAAACAGCATCAAGAATCATGCATATCACAGAACATCATGATTCCTGAATATCACAGAGGCTATATTTCCCAAAAGTATCTTACTTTTGCACCTACGCTACTGCTATTGGGCTGACCGCACCCCAAAATGGTACGTTATGCATATTATAATGTGGGATAAATTACCAAAGATCACATTAAAAGTTGCAAAATCTTTTGATTTATAATTTCGATTTCTATGAAGAAAATCACCAGCCATGCCTGCGTGGTCCTCAAAAGGCTCAAGTACGGTTATGTTGAGTTACAGACAAAGTAATCTAAAAACATTTCCCTATAATTAATGCTTCCTAATTCCATGGATTCTTCTTGCTTACTACACTTCTTTTTGAGCTAGTCGTCGAGCTAGATTTCTGCCACAGAGAGTAAAACCAGTTAAATAGGTTTGGGTTTAGTTTATTTGAGAACAGAATTCAGGCCATGCACATGCAGTACATAAAAGATTCAACAGTTATGCATACCGTCTTTGATTTCTTTGTCTTTCCACGGATCCTGTTCTTTGAAGGTTTCAATTTGTATATCCGAACCATCCAATGGTGAGTTGTGAATACCTGAATCGAAAAGACATGACAGATTTAATCTAAATAAAACTTCTGGTGCTTTATTGAGAAATTATTCCCCTTAACAAGTTCTTTAAAATGTGGAGTGAGACATTTTATGTCGACACCAGTATAAGCAAACTGAGAGATGGATAAAAAGGTCCACCTAACCCAAAATGAATTTTAGGGAAAATGTCTTGAGCAATGTTTTAATTTTTCCCTTTGAAGACTTGCAATGAAATATACACGTATATTCTGGAAAAGCTTTTAATGTTCTAACACTCAAGAATTTGTGATTGGCTTAAGTAATTGTGTGCATAGTGCACTTATTACTACAAGAAGATTAAGATCATCTAACCTCCTCAAAATGAGTAAGTTTGAAATATTTCTTCCCAATCTCTGTCCGTCTCACTCTATCAAAGCCCTTGCCATCAGTCTCCACAAATCTGCAGGAAAGACACAGAGAATGAAAAACTAATACAACAGCAGATCTAACAAATGTAAATTCAGAAGTTCATATCAAAGACAGACCTGTAATATGAGAGTTTGTACATGAGACAATTTAGCATGGTTGGAGTGGCCTGAGAATCAATTCGGTACTGACCATCTCTCTGTAGACAGATAGTGAAGGTATAAAATCATTGGTCACATTTATATGCGAAATATAGTGTACCTAAGCCAAAATAAAATAACATCTGCGATTGGAGAATATTAACCAAGCGCATCACAACTATCATGCAGAAAATTTCAGAATACAAATATTCATTTACTTTCATGTGATATTGCTAGCAAAAGGAACCTACCAGGTAATCAGGTTCCTTTATATGAGGGAACACACCCCCTCCTATACGAACCATCCATAGGAACTTATTGATATCATCACTGGGGTAGCCAACAAGACCTAACGAGTAAAGTAACTAGTGAGAACAAATTTTTTTAGGAAAGATGATCTAAGCATAAGAGAAGGGAGCAAACCTCCAAAGACAACAAGAACATATTTTACATCCAAAGAGTTGAATATTTCCCATGCTGCCTTTTCAGGAGAAGACATCGCAGTACCAACAGTTGCAATATGAGTGTTATTCCAGGTATTATTGTCAACAATTACTGTCCGGTTCGCCATGGCAGTTGTTTGGTAACCGTAGTCCCACCATGATGCAACCTGCATGAAGTTTTTATTAAAAATCAATGCCCCTTAATATCTTCTAGGTGAAAAGATGCCACACTATATATCAAACTTAAAAAGAAAAACCATGTTGGCAGGCTGAAATTTGTTTCAAAAACAGAAGAACGCTGCAATTTAGGTCATAAAATCCTTTTTATTATGATATATCTTTTGGAGTTCTCTATCACAAAAAATTTAGGTCACAAAACCCATCAAAGTAATTCTCTAGCCACCAGTTGCAGCAGACAACACACTGAATATATGCATCATCTCTGATGTCTCCTCATACTTCAAAGAAATACTGATACAATGTTTATAGATATTTCAGACAAGCAAAAGAAACTAAAAGTATTATCATAAGATTTGGTTCGAGCTCTTGGCTAGAAAAACAAAGCAACAATAATTTATCTATCATAGTTAGACTAATATAGATGCAAATATTCCAGGATCAGTGCAAAAGGAAAGACAAACCCATTTAATTATTGAAGTGTAGCCCTGAACACTCAAATTTAGAACAGAAATCGTAAGACCATTACATTCAAAAGCCATGATACCAGGAAAAGATAAACAAAAACTGACAGATTGCTGCCAAGAAGATTTAAAAAATAAGATTATTAAAAAGAAAATTCTACAAAGGCCAAAGAACAAATTAGTAGAACAGGGAAGGTGGAAAACTCACTTTGTCATCCACATCAGTATTGTGACTCAACCATCCATAAGCCTCTCTAAAATCATCAAAAACATGCAGACCATCATTTGAATAAGATGTTAAAACTATCGAAGGAGCTGAATAAGCTTCTGCCGCTGCCCATACACAGTGAACCTACAAGGTACAAACCATTATAGTTAGACACCCTTTATTCATCAGGCAGTAACAATAAATCATTAAACAAGGAGAGAGAAGGTCAAAAGAAAGCATAAAACAATTAATTTTCTCTTGGCCAGTAAAAGTCAAAACCAGAAGAAATCTGAAGATTTCAAGCAAGAAATGCTTTAGAAATATTAGTTCTAATCTCCTCATAAACAAGTAGAAATCTTATATGCCCACACCCATAAAATATGCAATGGAAAGAACAATTTCAATTATTTTATTCTTAAGTTTTAACAGATGAACCTGATATCACACTTCATGCCATAAAGAAATGGTATATAAATGTTACAGCATGCACACAGTTTAATTAATGGATAGAGGAAGAAAAAGTCTAAATACCACATAGAAGGCACCCAGAAACACAAGTAAGATAAGAGCAATCAAAGATGCCTCCAGCGGTAAAACCAGAAGCTTCTTTTCTTTTTTGGACTTAATCGAAGTCTTGTCAACATGAATCTTTTCCACTTGCTCCTTCTCCTTCTTCTTGTTCTTTCTTGAGGGACGTTCCTTTAATGTATCTTCACTTTTATCAGGTTTTGCTCCATCATTCTCTGCTACACTACTATCAGAACTAGTATCCCCTGCCTTAATGGTCAAAGCATTACGGGTAGCTGAATATTAGAAGTGAAGCTAAATGACTTGATTAAATGACTGAAGAATGTCCAGTTGCAGAACTAACTAAGGAAACATGCTTACATCAACTTTAGAGTTTCCTGGTACTCCAAATAGCTGAAATTTGATTGACCGTGTAAAAACGTCAAAAGATTGAGATAGAGCAATTCCAGACATGATGCATGCTGCTGGAGCAAGTACAAGCATAAGGCGCACCTGTAATATTAGCCTAACAATGATCACATGAATTATGGGAGGAGAAATATAAACGAAGACAAGCTGTTCCAATATTCTCCTTACCATTACTCCAGAAAAATATACTGATGTCACAATATAAAGGATCACAAAGGAGCTTGCATCAGATAAAGGCAAGAAGCATGACTGCAAACAAATAAAAGATACAATGATGCAATTTATAAGCACAAAACTTCTAGGTGATAATCCATATTCTGTTGAGTTTTGAATCTTACAATAATGCCAGCAGGAACCAAGAATGCCAAAACATTAATGTCCATGAAGTAGGATGGCCAAGTAGGGGGCTGATGTTCGCTAACACTGGCAATAATTGGTATGTACTTGCTTGCATAAGTTCTGTCAGAATGAAGTGAAATAAAAAAATTTAGTCAGCTGATCAGAATTCCAGAATGATATATATAGATCATAGTAACTGCTCTATATGACTTAAGAAAGGCACAAAAGAAATAAACAGGGAAATCAGCTTTCAGAAAACTATAATGTAAAAGAGAGTAGGTTCTCCATATTTATGATGCAAAGGAACCCAATCGAGAACATAAACACAACCACGCCAGATTCAAGGTAGATTATACTCAGGTTCCATCAATAGAAGAACTAGAGTAAATTAATAAATAAGAAAATGTTATAAGAATGAGAGTATGTACTTACGGATCAAGAAGACTCAAACTTCTTCCACTCCATCCCTTTGTTGGGCTGGAAGCTACCAATGCTACAAGAACCGCTACCGCTGCAATACAGACTACCCTGAAGAGGAAATAATACAAAAGTAAGGAGATCATATTATTTTTCAATAAGGGTATACAACATTAATGAGAAATAATTTAATTTACTACCAATTCATTAGCAGTAGAGAAACAGAAGAGAAAGGAAGCTTACAGGCCAACTGATACAACAAGAGTGACAGCTACGTTAAACATTTTGGCAGAGAGAATCCCTTTGATATAATGCACAAGAGCCACTACGTGGATAACAATGAAAACCTGCAGATAAATGACAGAAGGAAATTTGTGAGAAAGACAAAAAAGTAATGTAATATGGCAGACATAGAAGGGGAAAAGTCATATCTGGTAAATAATGAGATGGATAGTTAGCCAATTTGAGCAAGTCATATCTTGTATTCAGAAGATTAAAATAATTCCTACTTTCATTTAAGTCCTTGTTTTCCAAGTTTACAATACCAGTAAAACCATTCAATACAACTTTTTAACAAGAATTCCCGTAAATAGGCATCACAACCATACAAACTTAAAATTTATTAAAGGCAAACCAATAATAAGAAAAAAATCACAAATTACTGATAAATCTCACGTACCAAAAATGATGCGAAATGTTCTGATGTCATGACTGCATTAAATCCAACAACAGGCACCAAAGCAGCAAGCAATGTTCCCAGGACAACCTGCACTCAGAAAGTTATAATTAGCTGAAGCCAAAAGTTTAAAGGAAAGTATCTTGTAAAAAGGATATCAATCTTACAAGATATTAACATTTCCAGGACAAACAGCTTAGCTCTCAAAAAGAATAGTACATTTCGTTAAGAATTTTTTTGCAGAATTATTCCTTTTAAGTTTTCAACAATAACCACAATGTGCAACATTTAAAAATAAAAATGCTTAAGCAGCCAACAATTATGACAAACAATACAAAACAAATTGAAATTTGTGAAGTCAATTCAACGTCCAGACAAATAGCCTCTGGATCTGAAGCTCTTGATAATTTTTTTACAGAAACCACTGGCAAAGCTTCTTAAAATCTATTGATACTAGGCATACAACAAAGTGTCTTAGCCCTTACATGAATCCTTCTATAATCTCAGCCCTAGAAAATCGATACAATTGACATGCTAGTCATATAGCTTTTCTAAGACCAGAAATATAACAGCTAGTATTCACTCCTGAAATATGATTTAAAGAAACTAAGGCAATGATAGTAATGAAAATAAATTCACATGAACTAATGGGCCATTCCAAATGGGCTAAAAAGTGTAATAGAGTGTGAAATTCTTCTTAGATGCCCTTTCACTGAATACAGTCATAAGACAAAGAATATGAGGCACTAAGGCCCTCAAAAATTTCAAATAATCCAAACCCTTAACTGTTTCCTGTCAGTGTTTTCAACCACAAAAGGAATAGAAGAAGCATGAAATGCCTATTTGTGATAGTTTCTATTCTTGTTTGGCTAGATAAAAACGCAAAAAACAATTTTTAATGAACTTCTGATCATTTTATTTTTCTTCACCACACTGAAAACTTCACAAGTGCTGGGAATACTTACAAGAGGAGCATATGCGATGTACAATCGAGATGAGTATCGACCAGTTACAATGCACAGAAGCACGTGCATCGGAATCAGGTTAATAATAAAGGTATATCCTCCCCAAGAGCAAACCTGGATGAGAAAAAATAAAAATAAATATGATGAATTGGGGAAAGAAAACATTTAAACAAGCTAAGCACACAAATCTTACCATGTAAAAGTATGCTACTGCATTTAAGGTAGCATAAAACAGAGATCCCGTATTCAATGTCTGCACAGCACACATAGTTTAAATCAGAAAAAAATCAAATCAAAATATAAATCATGTAGAAAAACCAAATAAATATTCCGTTTGGTATCAGTTAAACTGGACAAAATATCAGCCAATCTGTTTGATCTGCTGCTTCCTCAAATAAAATAAATTTAAAAGTATGAAGAATGAAATAATTTATTCTCTTTAAACAAAATCTAACCTTTATATAAAGATAGAAAGTGAAAATCAAGGCAAATATTGCTACAGCTTCATTGTCATAGCTTCCAGCTACAGATCGAGATATGTATGATGGAACCTACAAACCAGATCATTAAGCAAAAAGGCAAACACTTCATTGTATGGATTGTTAAGCATCATATCCGTAATTAGCCACTATAAACACGGCACATTTATAAAGGAAAAACAGCATATCCAAAACAAAAGGGTTGCCACTACCATAAAAACTTTACAGCACGTGTCACATCAAAACATGTTTTCATAACAAGGAGATATTTACCAAAATTATTAAAAACACATCAAACCATTTAGAACTTCTATCTACAGAGCTATCCATAGTAGTTGTCACTACAATATTAAGAGTCCAATGAGATGTTGCACACAGGTTCAAATTCCCACTAAAAAAGGACCAATTGTAGGGGTAAGTTATCAACTAATCGTCTTTCCTACAAAATGGAGAAGAGATCTCTAGACCATACTCCAAACATGAACCTTAGACATGTCTCTTTGAAAGTATTTCACTAAGGTACTAAGAATCTCAGAGCATCCAATGCATTAATCAAACAAATTCTACACATTTAAGCATACACATTATAAATGCACATTTAAGTTCTAATTTTGATCATTCAACATCTGTTTTATAAGGAAAAGAAAAATGGAATATGAAATTACACACATCAAACATATTACCAACTAATAGAAACGGGACAACACACTTTGTACGTAAAATTTTCAAGGACTTGTTATAAGATAAGATGTTTTGTTGCTGCCACTCAAAGTCTGAAAATAATTTCAATAAACGGCAAAACTACGAGGTGTATGATTTACCATGGCCAAAAGAACTGCTGCTGTCAGTCCTGCACCAGTACCTTTAACTTCCTATAAACACCAATCAAATGTCATCACTAGATCTGAGGCCAGTACAGAACTATATAACAAAAAACACAAATACGAACAGAACTCTAACCTTAGTTAGAAGATAAGTTGCCCATGAAGCAAAAGCAGAGAATATTGGTGCAGTGAAGACACAAACAGTCTCCACAGAAAGAGGAATATTCAAGGAATTCAATAGCCTGACAAGAACCAGCAATGACTCAATAAATTTGCAACGGTTAGACAAAACACTGACAGCTTCAAGTGTGTTAAACAATAAGAACCACCCCAAAGGGCAAGTATGTGAATATGGCGCAAAATCAAACAATAAAAACAAGCAAGCAATTCCTTACTATTAACTCCACAATACTTACCACCATATGGTGCCTGCTGTCAAGGTCAATCCAGGGTAAACAGTTCCGCCAATCACACGACCCAGAGGGTACCTTTACATACATAAAAGCCAATCCAATCACTTGAAAACTATGACAAGATTTAAAGGCCAACTAATACAAAGTAAATAGGAACTCGACAGGATAAATTAGTTGCACTTACCAGGTTCTATCATCAAACCAATTCCAAAAATCATATATCCCATTCTTTGTAAGAAACTGAAACCAGAAACATTCCCGTCCTTCATCCTCTATATAAATATCCTCTATATAAATACCATAAAACGGAAAAAATTAAGAGAGAAAATAGAACCTGAGTGACCCTGTAATTGAAGTAAGGATCAAACTCGTGAATGACACTCTCATACTTTATAACCTGTAAATCAATTGAAAAACCATGAGACTAAAATGCCACTACAGTGAAACAGAATAAGTCTAATGTAATTCACAAAACAAATCGCTCTGAAATGTTGTCAATTAATGCAACAACAAACTATATATAAAAATGTTCAAAAATTGAAATTCTAAAAATAACGAGTTTTTTTGAATAAATTCTGTTCTTTTCCTCCGGTTCTAGTCAATACGATGAGGCGACTTTGGACAGATTTTAATCAAAATGATGAATTTCCCATAACACGTCAATTTCTGCCTAACTCTTTTCGTCTACATCGCAAGCATTCAGACGGTGAATGTCGGATCTATAAAATTGAATGACTAGGTATCTTACAGAGAAGAGGCGGATCGAGAAAGCAAGAACTCCTATCAAAAGTAGGATGAAGAATGAGAGAACATTTCCAAAAGCGTTTCGCAAGGTGGTTTCGCTAGCCTTATCAACGGCCGCCATTGACGGCCAAATCGATCACTGATTTCAGTTAAGCGTTTGAGATAAATATTAAGAGAGACTGTATGCGTAGAGAGTGGTTTTTGTTTTTGTAGCTGTAGGTCTTGAGTATGAGAAGACTTTGTAACGAGGGAGAAGATTTGCGGGAATTCTGAAATGACGATAGTAGGTATTTCAATTAAGTATATGACAACAATGTCCTGCTTGGTTCTACGTGGCTGAATGCTTCTTCAATTTGATGCGAAAAAGCATGCGATTGGTTATGAACTGCGTGGCATGCCACGTGGCTTGTTGTGAATTGTACAGACAATTTCACTTTGAAGTTTAAAGACAGTATAGGATTTGTGTTCTTTCATTTGAATTTTGTTTATTATTTAATAAATTCAATTTCCACATTTAGNGATTTAAAGGCCAACTAATACAAAGTAAATAGGAACTCGACAGGATAAATTAGTTGCACTTACCAGGTTCTATCATCAAACCAATTCCAAAAATCATATATCCCATTCTTTGTAAGAAACTGAAACCAGAAACATTCCCGTCCTTCATCCTCTATATAAATATCCTCTATATAAATACCATAAAACGGAAAAAATTAAGAGAGAAAATAGAACCTGAGTGACCCTGTAATTGAAGTAAGGATCAAACTCGTGAATGACACTCTCATACTTTATAACCTGTAAATCAATCGAAAAACCATGAGACTAAAATGCCACTACAGTGAAACAGAATAAGTCTAATGTAATTCACAAAACAAATCGCTCTGAAATGTTGTCAATTAATGCAACAACAAACTATATATAAAAATGTTCAAAAATTGAAATTCTAAAAATAACGAGTTTTTTTGAATAAATTCTGTTCTTTTCCTCCGGTTCTAGTCAATACGATGAGGCGACTTTGGACAGATTTTAATCAAAATGATGAATTTCCCATAACACGTCAATTTCTGCCTAACTCTTTTCGTCTACATCGCAAGCATTCAGACGGTGAATGTCGGATCTATAAAATTGAATGACTAGGTATCTTACAGAGAAGAGGCGGATCGAGAAAGCAAGAACTCCTATCAAAAGTAGGATGAAGAATGAGAGAACATTTCCAAAAGCGTTTCGCAAGGTGGTTTCGCTAGCCTTATCAACGGCCGCCATTGACGGCCAAATCGATCACTGATTTCAGTTAAGAGTTTGAGATAAATATTAAGAGAGACTGTATGCGTAGAGAGTGGTTTTTGTTTTTGTAGCTGTAGGTCTTGAGTATGAGAAGACTTTGTAACGAGGGAGAAGATTTGCGGGAATTAAGAAATGACGATAGTAGGTATTTAAATTAATCATATGACAACAATGTCCTCCTTGGTTCTACTTCTACGTGGCTGAATGCTTCTTCAATTTGATGCGAAAAAGCATGCGATTGGTTATGGACTGCGTGGCATGCCACGTGGCTTGTCGTGAATTGTACAGACAATTTCACTTTGAAGTTTAAGACCGTAAAAACCAAATCCTTTAAGATTTGTGTTCTTTCATTTGAATTTTGTTTATTATTTAATAAATTCAATTTCCACATTTAGCTATATGCAACTTGTTTTCCATTTAGCATCTTGTTATACATTTTTTAGATATATAACCTAATATTTTTAATAAAACATGAAATTTTTATCTTACACTAAATTGAAAGGCCACGTTTTTTCCAACTTTTGTAACCGATTCTTCAAGTATCGAATACCATTATTATTATTATATTATTTTTATAATTATGAGTGTTTGAGTCAGTTTACATATATCTTACTTGATCCATTTAAACCTTAGAATTACGGGTCTGATAAGAGCTATAATAACCTCCCTTATTAGCAATGGTGGAGGAACTTTAACTTATAACCTCTTGAGTAATACATCCAAATGTTTATATCGAATGAGTGTCATTATTTTTTTAAACTCAAATTGTTTACATGCTAAAAATATATTTAAGATGTTTATTTGAAACATATGCTTTTACTTTTTTTTTTCTTTTTAACCAAGATTAAATTTTGGTGTTTACTGGGATCGTATGGAATTAAAATTGCAGGCCCACTATTATCAAGAAAATTAGTTATAGACTTGCAATTATATCTATGAACTATGCTATGCGTGCTTGACTTAAGTTTATGGCATTAAATTTTAGTAATTAATAAGTGTAATTCAATGATTCAAAGTGGTTTAGATGACATAAAAAAATAATCATCTTCTTGCTTTATTTTTCTAAAATCATTATTTACAAAAGATTAATAGTTTTAATAGATCCTCCAAATTTAATTTGACATAAAGTAATCACAATTTAGGGATTAAACAAAATCAACCACATTTCTAAACCCTAAATTATATTAATTAATAGATATATTTTGTTTGACATAAATACTCCGTTTTGTAATTCTCTTTCTTTATTGCAACTTTCAAAATCTCTCCCATTACTCACAATTTACATAGCATGAGTTTACATGAAATCTTTGGTTTGTCTTATTTGAATGACATATAAAACTTTTCTCAAATTTTTGTAATTTCAACAGAATAACAACACATAACAAAGAAGAGCCTAACATAGTCATTATTTCAAACAAGAAGCATAAAAATATTAAAAATATTAATAAAATAGTATTTTGGAAGTAGGCGGGGTTTATTTCCAGAAATACCATTTTATTTATATTTTTAAAATATTTATGGGTTCGTTTGTTTTATTATTTCATATCCTATTCCCAAAATACTTGTTTGTTTAATTATTTAGGAAATGTTATTATATCTTTTTAATTACTTTTAAACCCCTTAAGTTTATTAATTTAATTAAACACCCATAGAAACAAAATTTAAAAATTAACAAAGACACCCCCACCCACCCATAGTTGCCAGATTCTGTTGCTGGAATCTATCACAACGGCTTAGAAACGATCGAAACTGGTCGATAATTCGTCGATCTGGCTGTCAGCGATGGCCAAAGATATAGCCGTCGTTGTCGGTCAATGACGACCAAGATTAACGGTCAGATCTGGCCTTTTGCGGCTGTCGACGGCCATAGTGACGTAAGACCGGCCAGATCTGACTGATCTACGTCGTAACGCCATTTTCCAGCCAGATTCCGATATTGGTGGCCGGAATTTGGCACTGTAGGTAGGTGGGGGTTTTTTTGTTATTTTACAAAAAATTTATATATTGGGGTGTTTAGTTAAATTAGCAAACCTATGGGTTTTTTTTTTTTTTTTTTGTTAATTTTTAAATTTGACCTCATAATACTCACCTATTCAACTATCCAATATTATTCTCAAAATCTTATCCAAAATAACAAACCAAACGGACCCTATACTTCTTGTTTTAAATGAAATGTTTAGAGATGTAATTCATTTACACATGTTTTTACTTCAAAAATTGTAAGAATAATAGTAAAGAAATTTGAATTTATCCAACTAACTTATAATTTTTTGGAGAAGTGTGGAGAAAGAAAAAACTAATGAAAAATTAAAAAGGAAATAACAAAGCAAAGAATTTAGTAATACCATGATTTTGATCAAACTCTTTGATTGCATAAATTTCGTCTCCATCATTTGAAAAATAGAACTAGGTTTATTGAATTAGGGTTTATATTTGAAAGAGGAAATAAAATTTTTAGAAGTCTTAGTAATTTTATTAAGGGATACAATTATATTTTAAAAAATAATACTAATTAGGGTCTAAAGAGATACAATATGGGGTTAACAGCATCACACTTTAAAAATATAAGAGATTAAAAGGAAAAAAGAAGAGAGAAAGGGAGTGAAAGATTGACTTTCATAGAAGAGTAATTTTGGATTATAATAATTGTTGATTAATATAATTTGAAGATTAAAATTCTGAATTTACCTTTTTAACCCATTTATTTTTTTATTAATTTAATTAATATCTCTCGTAGGTAGAAAAACTAAACCAAACCAATGTATTTTTGTTCACCCCCAAAGCCCATATAAAAATTTGAGGCCTTTGATATTCATTATGCGGATAGGGCCCAAAACACCACCCGAACCCTGCTAGAACCCGGAGACCCGCTGTTTTCGCTGGCCGCCTCTTCGTACGCCACTATATAATTAAAAACCTTTCAGGATGTTTGTTCATTTTCTAAATAATCTCCTGATTCATCCACATCATACCATCAATCTCCTGAATTCCATCTTTAATTCGAGCAAACATCGTTCGCCACTGCTATTAAAGGTTAACTTTACTTTTTGAGTTCCCCCTGATATGGGTTTTTGATTTAGGGTTAGGGTTTTTACTTTATTCCTTTCTCCTTATTTAATCCGATTAAATTAGGCTATCGGTGTGTTATTAGCTGCAATTTTATTTCTTTTTGCTGATAATTTAGGCATCAGTAGGTTTGTTGATTTTGTCCGTCGTGTATATGGATCTGTGTATGAATTCAACTTCGAAAGCGGGGATCTTGTAGAATACCTTTGTATACGAACATACTATAATTTTATTTGATTTTATATTTTAATTTTTGTTTGTGAGATTAAAATTATTTACACTTATATTGTTGTTTGATTGAGCTTTCCCTGTACGTAGATCTGTGTAGAGTTGTTTTCATTCAGTGTGTTTGTGTTGGGCTGCTTTTGCAGGTGTGGTATACCTTAGTTTTATCTGTGCTTGATTAGCTATTTGAGTACATCTGTTGAACATGGCGATGTTGAAGGATATATTACCCCCTGTGAAACAAAATAATCCCACGTTTTATGACCATTCTAGTGATCCATGGTTTAAGAATAGATATAGTTCTGCTGAGGAGGAAAGATCTCATGAGATAAAACTCAAACCTGTACCTCCCTACCTGAAGCGTCAAGGTTTTGTTCCGCGAAAGATTGAGGATTTTGGTGATGGGGGTGCGTTTCCGGAGATTCATATAGCTCAGTACCCTCTTGACATGGGTAGAAATAGAGCTGCTAAGCCTGGGTCAAAGATTCTACCTGTGACTGTTGATGCTCATGGTAATGTAGCCTATGATGCAGTTGTTAAGCTAAATGAGAATGCCAAGAAAATTGTTTACTCACAACATAAAGATATTGTTCCGAAGATTTTGAGAAATGAGGAAGACAGTGAAGATGAGGATGAGGAGGTGCAGCGGGAGATTGATGAAATTACACAGGAAACTAAAGCTGCTCTTGAAAAGATTGTGAATGTGAAGTTGAGTGCAGCACAGCCCAAGAATGTACCTCAACAGTCATCTGAATCAAAGTATATTAAGTACAAGCCATCACAGCAGTCAGTGGCCTTTAATTCTGGTGCTAAGGAGAGGATTATTAGAATGGTTGAGAAGCCTGTAGATCCACTTGAGCCACCAAAGTTTAAGCACAAGCGGGTTCCAAAGGCCTCTGGTTCTCCCCCTGTACCAGTCATGCACTCCCCACCTCGGCCTGTAACCGTAAAAGATCAACAAGATTGGAAGATCCCACCTTGTATATCAAATTGGAAGAACCCAAAGGGGTATACAATCCCCCTCGATAAGCGACTTGCAGCTGATGGAAGAGGTCTTCAAGAAGTTCAGATTAATGACAACTTTGCTAAACTATCAGAGGCTCTCTATGTTGCTGAGCAAAAGGCTAGAGAAGCTGTTGCAATGAGATCAAAGGTGCAGAAGGAGATGCTTATGAAGGAGAAGGAAAGGAAAGAGCAGGAACTGAGGGCCTTGGCTCAGAAAGCACGGTCAGAGAGGACTGGGGCAGCACCCCCAGCATCCATTTCAATCCCATCTGAGAAGAACGCAATGGATACTGATGATATGGGAGGGGAGTATGAGCGTGTGAGAGAAAAAGAAAGGGATATGCCAAAAGAGACAAGGGAAGAAAGGGAGCAGCGATTACAGAGAGAGAAAATTCGTGAGGAAAGACGTCGAGAGAGGGAGAGGGAGAGAAGGTTGGAGGCCAAGGATGCTGCCATGGGAAAGAAGAGTAAGATTACTAGAGACAGAGATCGTGATGTTAGTGAGAAAGTTGCTCTTGGTATGGCCTCTGCCGGAGCAGCAAGAGGAGGTGAGGTTATGTATGATCAAAGACTGTTCAACCAGGAGAAAGGAATGGACTCTGGTTTTGCCACTGACGATCAGTACAATGTGTATGACAAGGGCTTGTTTACTGCTCAGCCTACACTTTCAACCCTGTATAGGCCAAAGAAAGATGCTGATGCTGAAATGTATGGAAATGCGGATGACCAGTTAGAGAAGATTATGAAAACTGATCGCTTTAAAGCCGATAAGGGTTTTGCAGGCGGCTCTGAGAGGTCTGCTCCAAGAGACAGGCCGGTTGAATTTGAAAAGGAAGCTGAAGAAGCTGATCCATTCGGTCTGGATCAGTTCTTGACAGAGGTGAAGAAGGGGAAGAAAACTATGGACAAAGTTGGTAGTGGAGGGACACTTAGAGCTAGTGCTGGATCTTCAATGCGAGATGATTATGGAGGTTCTAGTAGAACTCGCATAGGGTTTGAAAGGGGCCGCTAAGCTGTTAAATATCCTCATTTACTATTCTGTATTTTATTTTAATCTTTGGGATACTTAAATTTCCTCCAAGTAACTTTTCCTTTTGTTGCTTTCTTTGTACTACATCAAGGTTTTCTATGTGATGCCATTTCTGAGCATATAATGAACTTGAGAAAAATATTTTGTGTCAAATGATTAAAGTAGTTATTAGAGAGATGCAGTGATTTTGAGATGGATCAGACGTCGAGAAAAAAGAATGCCAATATGTTTTTGAGTGTATGGTAGACTTTAGATCCTAGATTTTGTAGGCATATATGCAGTTATGATTTCTGTAGATTCTGAAATCATTGTATTAGATCATGCAAGTGTTGCTTTGTAGTCTGCGTCGCTGCTTGCTATGTGTTTGGAGTTGCTTGCTGTTTTCAGTCCTGGAGTAGTCCAGTTACGCATTTCGATTTGAGGTATGTTGTCTTTCTCAACCTTTCTTTTTGTTTGAAGACTCGGGTTTGTTAAAAGTGATTTTTTTTCTTTTAAAGAGAAATTAATGAAAGGAAACCGGGACTAGAAGAGCCACTGTGGTGTGACATTTCCGGTCAGGTACCTCTGGTATCAAATTGATGGCTTCTTAAAATAGTGATGTGTATCCACTTGACTAATGTAATTCATAATTCGGTTAATCTGACTTCCAAGTCATTCCAGGTCTAGTCTGTTTTTCAGGGAATTAAAATCGATCGGCAACTCCAATGCCGTACACCACATGGGAGGTATTTGTGCTTCCAGTAATATTAATCTAATTCCCATGTTTGATTTACAAGTTTATTGCCAGAATATTTAAAGAGTAATGTTAGATCTAGGGGTGTTCAAGGTTCGGTTTCAATTCAAAGAAAATAAAAAATTGAATTTTTGGTTCGATTACCGTTTTGAGAGAATATTTATCCGGTTAATTGAAATCGGTTTATTATAAAAAATATTAAAAGTTAAAATAAAAAATAAAAAATGTGTAGTTTATTATAAAAATGTTAAATATTAAATTAAAACAGGGGTTCCCTTAATTGATTTGGGAAAATTCCTAAACCGAAAAACCGCTTCGGTTCAGGAAAATTCTTAAATTGAAAAACTGGTTCAGTTCATAAAATCAATTAACCGGTTTTGAACACCCCTAATTAGGTCTACAACTTTCTCTCACAATCCTAACATGATAACTCGTAATTAGTCAACTTTCAATTGGACAGATGAGACTCATAACGATACCTAATTACAAGCTGTCATTAAATTGTGAATCTAGCATTATTAATATTTAAATAAACAAAATTGGATAGATGTGGCATATATACTTTAGGCATAATTGTTGGAATTGCCATAATCAGAAACATTTATGTATATCATTTATGTCCATAGCATGTTGCGGCAATCCCCTAGAACTCCCAAGTCCCATATCACTTGTATATTAACTTTCATCTCTTATCGTGTGTCATTTGAACACTATGACGTGCAACGTCGTTTTGTCAACGCACATCACATGTTCAATTGATGCATCAACCAAAGTTTCTCTAGTGTTTTTCAGAATACCAGCTTAGATAAAGATATTATCAGGATGACGTGAGATTTAGCATCAGTAAACTAAGAGGTATGTACATCAGTTACGCAAGTTAAAGATTTGGCTTGGCTCTTGCGATATTATTAACAAAAGCAACCCAGTGAAGACTAAAATTGATCTGGTAAGGTTCAAACACACTGATCAACTTCAGAGAGATTTTTCTTCAATTCCCCCAGCCTCAATAGCTAAGTACATTTATCCAAATTGGCTAACATCACATAGATATATAAATCCCTACTTTTACAAGAGATGCTGACAAAATTACTTAAAACTTGAAAGGATAGGTACTTCAAAATTCTTCAATAATTAACAATTAAGGGAAATAGCATGAAATAAATAATCAAGACTCAAACCACCAGAAACAATTGCAAAAAGCAAACTAAAATGGCTCAAAATTTAGGACAAGTGCAATTGTCCACTACTAGCAATGCAAAATATCTTGCATCAACATTGTCCTTCTAAAACTAGTTGTTCTGGCTCCCAAGTAATCTCATGAACAACAAACTGCCTGCAATCAGATCAGTCAATAAACAAGACTCTGAAGGTTGCCATACAGAAACTGAACAAGAGTCAATTCAGTCAGGATTTATTACCTGCATCAAGATTGTAATTTCTGAGGCTTTTGACGACCAAAAAGCAAAAGAGAACCCAAGGCCACTTTGACTTCTAAGCAAATAGATAAGAATCAATCTGCTGGATTTTTGGAAAAATTTGTTTCAGAGCAGCAGAATAATTTGAAGATTTTGCCTGCAATGAAAGAAAAACAAAAAAAGAGGTGATGAAAGGGCAATTGTTATAGTATACTAAAATAATTAATGCATTCATCAAATGACCAAAAGCACATGGACGAATAAAAGGCAATTTTATTAAATCAATTAGATTACCATGGCCCATTATCGTGTATTAATCAAATAAATACATAGAAGAGATTTTACAATCACCTCAAACACATAACTACATTTTACAATCATGTGCAATACATTCAGACAAGTCAAGAAAAGAAAATCATGTTGCATAATTCTTTTCCCTTCCATTGACATTAACATACAGTATCAGTTTTAATGCAAATAACAGAAGAGAAAAATTTCCTCTCAGCTGGCCTTTATGCATGCCATAAAAATGACTATCAAGAAAACAAATAACATTGCGAGAAGATTTAAACTCATTTGAGTATCTCCAAATATATCCCGGTATATATAATTCAGAATAAAATGCAACTATAAGAATCGTATGAAAAGAAAACAGTTACAAACATACAGCGTCCACAGAGATGTTCACACCCATGAAACATAAAACTTTGTGGAGGAAACAAAATGTATTTATTAAAAATAGGTTTTGCCGGTAAGTTCTTTCACAATACTAACCTAAAGGTAACATCAATCAGTGATGACTTACGCCTCTAATTCAAATCCCATTAGCAAAGTAAACCAAGAAACTCAAGAGTCAAAAAAGTGAATTTCAAAGATGAGAAACACATAATCATGAATGAAAAAGAAAAGAAGAAGGAATGCCATCCTCCCACTAGCATTTGCTAGGATATATCATGATTTTTGTAAAATGATGGACAATGGAGTGTGCAATGGGGAAAAAACAGAAGTAAACTAACAAGATGCACTTTAATATAAAATAAACGTAGGGTGTAGACCAGAATGCTGACAAAGCCAGCAGGCAGAGTCAGAGTCAGTAGAACAGAAGATATGGACCCTTATAGAGCTCATTTATGGAGAAGATTGGGATATAAGCAATTACTATATGAATAAACATAAGAATCAGACACAAAATAACAAACAAATTAACATATATAAACAATCAAGAGTTGTATGCAGTAGCTATCTATGCATGTACAACGGATGAGACTCTAAACAATTGGACTATATAAGTTGTTGATAATAATACACAGGGATTGTTCTCAAGGTAAATAGTGGCAAGGGTCTCTGTTGAACCAGCAACAGCCTCAGCAATGCTTTCAAGTGATTCTATTTGGTTGTCGTTAAGCCACAGGTCTTCTAACCTGCAAGCATAGTTCCCACCAAAAGATGACAACAATAATAAGACGAGTCCACATGGTACCCAATATGTAGAAGAAAGGAATAGACATACCGAGTTAGATTTTGAACGTCATCTATTGATGTTAGCTTATTTGACGATATGTCCAACACATGAAGGTTTACTAATGTCGATAATCCTTCCATTTTTGCGATGCCATTATGGCTTAGATATAGCTCTTCTAGAGCAACACAATCCTACACATTAAAAATAAAAGTAATAAAAATGATTATTTTATTTCAATGAAATGCAACACAACATTTTAAGCTTGCCTGGCTTCCAAAAAACACAATTTTTTTTCTTTTTTAATATTTCTAAAACTTCCACTATCCTCCTTAGGATTTCACCCAAATTCTAAATTCATTACTAATCTCGGTAGTCAGAAAACTTGCAAATCATAATAGCTAAGAGTATTCCCAAGGTCTTGATTGAAATCAAAAGTCTTAACCACTCAACCCAAGCTTGGAGTTCCAAACAAGGCAGTTATTACCAATTACCTACCTCAAAACCTTTCATTGAAGTTAAACGGTTACTCTGCAAGCTAATCTTCTTTATGCATTTTAGTCCACACAGGTTCACTACTTTGATACGATTCCGTCCAAGCCACAGCTCCTGTAAGTTTGACAGATTTTGCAAATTCTCCATTACCTACAAAACACAAGTAGCGACCAAAGAAATCAACACAATGCTTCATATGCCCCATTGATATCCTAATCATCATTGTGACACAATTAGTGAGTGAGAGATAACTCTAACCCGTAATCTATTGGAACCAAGTTCAAGAATCTGCAAATCATGGAAGTGGTCAATCTCCTCAATCTTAGAAACTTCATTTTTTGACACATAGAGTTCCCTGAGCGTGTTGGAGATCTTTGACAATCCATTTAAAGAAGTGATCTCATTAAAAGAGACATCAAAGATTAAAAGCCCCTTGAATATGCCGACTTCAGGTATTTTCATTAGTTTATTATCCCTCAGTACCAGCTCCTGTAATCAAAACACAAAAAACAGCTTCTAAGTCGTTTATCTAATATCCAATATTTTCCAAGCAACCAAACAACCGTTTAGGAATGAATACCTCGAGGCCAGATAACGCAACCCAGTTACAGATTGGCTCGACACCAGCATCGTCGAAGAGGTTTTGGCGTAGAGAGAGCTTTTTGAGGTTCGAAAGATGCGAAATTCTTGGGTCCAAGCTCGATAATCTATTTGCAGTCAGGTCCAACTCGGTTAAACTTGCAGGTAGCTCGACTGAGTTGAGATCGTGGAGCTGGAAGCTGGTCAGATCAAGAACCGTACTTGATAAGTCAATCTCCACCGTCTGGTCGAGATTTTCGTCCGATGATGCTTGGTTTTTGTCTTCCATTGGTCGATTGTTTGAGAACTTTTTCGTTAAAGGAGAAAGAAGCGTAGGAATACTTGTGAGATGAATTGTGGTTTAAGGTTTTCAGAAATTTCGCAAAAGGACAGGTGTGGGGCGTAGCTTATGTGGGCTTCGCTATACCTTTATAAAGCCCAAGCAATCGAAATAAAGAGGGCAAGTGATTTTTGGTCTATTTAAATCTCATTTAATATATAAAAAAAAAATAACCTTATCATTTTAATTAAGTTTATTTTCCCAATTTTAAATTTAATCAGCCTTTTTATTTTGAAAAATATTATCCTTACAAAGAGGGTTACAAAGTGACATCATCCAAAAGAAAAAAAAAAAGGAAAAAAGAGAAAGAGAGAGAGAAAAATTATGAAAATCAAGGGTGGAATTGTCTTTGTATGCTCCTATGTGTCTTTGTAAAACTAGCGTTGTTATTTTATTTTACACTATTTTTTTTAAATCAAAATTAATTAAGTTTTTTCTATATACTTTTTTTTTCCTCACTTTCCTAATTCTAATTTATTTTATTTTCTTCTGATTTAGGTTCATTCTATTATGTTTTTCATAGTTTTAGTGTTATAATTTTTATCAAACAAACGAATATTTAAAATAAAACAAAATATTTTAATGATTATAAAAATTTGAGATTAAATAATGAAAACTTAGGGTTATGATTTATGTAAAATTAAAACAAAACTATAAAATACAGTATGAATACATTTATAAATTGTAATTTTTTTTTTAATAATTTAAATTAATGTTACATTTGTCTAAACATAAAATAAATTTAGAAGTGGGTCGAAAGTCACTTCCCAATGGTGACGGTCTCTTAACAATAACTAACAAAACCTTTGTGGCCTTATGCAGTTATGCTCCCTAATGTCCACTTGGAATAAATACTGGTAGAGCATGAAAAAAGTCAGAACCCGTATATGTCATTAGGCCAATGGCACCAGTTTAGAGAAGCAGCATCGGGTCTATTCGGGTGCAACATGAAATATATATGATTGGAGAAAAGGGAACGAGGTAAGCAGCATCGGCTGCAATATGATTATATGAAATTTGGAGGGAAGCTTTTATACGACTGGAGAGATGAATTTTCCATCTAAGCTTCAACATTTCATGTCATGTTGACTGATCCCTGTTTTATTTTTTACCCTCTTCCTTACGCATGACTTCTTTTCACCATCTCCTCCTCAGGTTTTCAAAAATCCAAACACCCAAAAGACAGAAACACCTAACCATTTTCAATCATCTCAACCACACTCTTGCTACAAGTCGCATACCTCTTGATACTCACGACCCAACCAAAATCATAGCAACCCAATTATCAGAATGTTCCAATTTATTACAACTGAACCAAATTTATGCCCATATTATCCGCACTCACTTTCTGCAATCCTGTCCTGCCGCATTTCATTGGAACAACATTATAAGATCATACACTAAGCTAGATGCACCCAAAAAGGCTCTATACGTTTACATCTTCATGTCACGTGCCGATGTCTTGCCCGACTCTTACACTCTCCCCATCATCTTAAAAGCCGTGTGCCAATTTTTTGCTGTGGAGACGGGCAGGCAGCTTCATTCGGTTGCAGTAAGACTTGGACTAGTATCAAACGAATTCTGCGAGAGTGGTTTAATTTGTCTTTACTCCAAGGCCGGAGAGTTTGAAACGGCACGTAAGCTGTTTGATGAAAATATTGAAAGAAAGTTGGGTTCTTGGAATGCCATCATTACAGGACTTTCTCAAGGTGGACGTGCGAAGGAAGTGATAGCTACATTTATCGAGCTAAAGAGATGGGGGTTCGAGCCTGATGGTATTACTATGGTTAGTGTAACTTCAGCTTGTGGAAGTTTAGGAGACTTGGGCTTAGCTCTTCAGTTGCATAGGTGTGTTTTCCAACCTAAAAGTAGCGAAAAGTCAGATGTTTTGATGTTGAATTCACTTATAGACATGTATGGAAAATGTGGGCGTATGGAATCAGCTTATAAGGTATTTTCCAGGATGAGCCAATGCAATGTATCATCATGGACATCAATGATTGTGGGTTTTGCAATGAATGGGCATGTCAATGAAGCGCTTGAATGCTTCCATTGCATGAGAGAAGCCGGCGTTAGGCCTAACCACGTGACATTTGTCGGAGTTCTTAGCGCCTGTGTTCACGGCGGTAAGGTGCGGGAAGGGAAGCATTTCTTTGACATGATGAAGAACGTGTATCGAATAACACCCCAGTTGCCACATTACGGGTGCATGGTGGATCTGCTTGGGCGAGCAGGATTGCTGGATGAGGCGAGAGAGATGGTGGAGAGGATGCCATTGAAGGCAAATGTGGTGATATGGGGGTGTTTGATGGGTGCGTGTGAGAAGTTTGGGAATGTGAAGATAGGGGAATCGGTGGCTAAGCATTTGCAAGAGCTGGAACCTTGGAACGATGGCGTTTTTGTGGCTTTATCAAATATTTATGCTAGTAGAGGTCAGTGGGAAGAGGTTGAGAGAGTGAGAGGGATTATGAAAAACAAAAAACTTGCTAAGGTTCCTGGTTATAGCTTGGCTACCAACTCATATTGAAATGAAATCCAAGCCGTTATTTATTTATTTATTTAATTTTTAGTAGTGAAGGACTGTCACTATTTAAAAATCAATTTTGGGTTGTCTAATGTGTTTATTTAATTTATCTTTCTTTTTTTTCAATTAAATTGTATATCAAAGAGATAAATTTGTTGTTACCCTATTCATTGAAAGTTAAAAATAAAGGGTTTATTATCAACATTCATTGTTTGTAACAAGCAACATGACCTTCATAGCATTTAATTTTTATCCCTTTTTGATGATGAAAATGGGAAATTATTTTTGTGACATTAATGTCGATAGGTTGAGCTGAGGCAAATGAAAAATGATTATATACAAGAAAATGGCTCACTAGAAAAAAAAAAAAAAAAAAAACAAATATTAAAACCTTTTAAACATAACCCAGCTTGACTTTATCTTGATTAAATATTAATAGACCATTAACACATGATTAAAAAAGAAAAACTTTAATGCAATTGAGTTCAAGTTCTCCCAGATATTAATAGGGGTGGTTATTGGGATTGTTATTTGATCGACAGTTTTAGAGTTCTAGATAATTAGTTGAGGTATACCCAAATTTGTCCGGATACTCTCAGTGATTAAAAAAAAAAAAACTTTAATGTAATATTTTGAATTTTGATTTCACATGAATATCATAATTTAACCAATATATAAATGATAAATTAAGCAAATCACTTACTAAAAAATGTTAAATCATATTTAATATTCATTCAAGAAAACTGAGGTCATTGATAAAGAGTAATGCTGCAATATGCATCGAATGATGTGGTAAAATTCTGACCGTTGATTCATTATAAGTTAATATTAATCAACTATTAAGATTTTATTACGTCATTCGGTACATAAATTGAATAACTCTAATCATTTTTCCATTGATAAATGCCCAAAGATGTTTCTTATAGGCGGCAAAGGCTTGACATAATTGGGCAGGTTCCTGATGCGCTCTTATTTACTTACATTAAATTCAATTATTGAAATTAAAAATTGATTATTAAAGTGAGGACATAGTTTTCAGTTCCATATAAGTATGATACATTATTAACTAGCCAATAGATTTAAAATTTCTAATGAAATCATTATAAAGTGTTTGAATAATAAAAAGAACCACCTAACTACAATTCCTGTCACGTGACGCGTCATTTGAAACAGCAATAGATAACACGTGCCTCCCCAATTTGAACCCAAAGAAACCCCCAAAACCAGAAGACAAAACCCCTTCTCTCTCCTTCTCAAAACTCAAAATCAAAATAAAGCCATGGAAGCGATACTCACAGACTGTGTACAGAACAGTCTCCGCCATTTCATGTACCGAAACGCCATTTTCCTCTGCGAGCGTCTCTGTGCCGAGTTCCCTTCCGAGGTCCTACACATTTACGCAAAACCTCTTTTTTTTTTTTCTTTTTTTCTTTTTTGTTCGTGTGGCTTGTTTGGGGAGAAACGGGACGAAAATTTTTCTTTTTGAGCTTCATTTTGTTTCAGTATTTTACATTTTTAATGTTTTTTTTTTTTAAAATTTCTTCGTGACCAAATTGAACTTTAATCACCAACATTGATGCTGTCTGATTTTGAGTTTTCACTTATTAGGTTTAGCTTTTAAATCAAAATTGAAATTATAAAATTTTATTCGTGTCTTTTGGCTGGCGTGTAAAGTTTAGGGTACACGTCATTAATAATGTTGCATTAGATGGAACTATGTAGCTTTTAGTAGCTAATACTGGTTGCTGGAGATGATCCTTGTTAGAGTTCATTGATTCAAATTTGACCGAGTTTCCGTGTACCCGTGCAACTNAATTTCTTCGTGACCAAATTGAACTTTAATCACCAACATTGATGCTGTCTGATTTTGAGTTTTCACTTATTAGGTTTAGCTTTTAAATCAAAATTGAAATTATAAAATTTTATTCGTGTCTTTTGGCTGGCGTGTAAAGTTTAGGGTACGCGTCATTAATAATGTTGCATTAGATGGAACTATGTAGCTTTTAGTAGCTAATACTGGTTGCTGGAGATGATCCTTGTTAGAGTTCATTGATTCAAATTTGACCGAGTTTCTGTGTACCCGTGCAACTGTTTGTGATTCTGCTTATTATTATTATTTATTAATATATTCTCTTATCTAATATAACCATTTGATTTGATGATATATGGACTTAATTTTAGTGAAGTATACTGGCATTTGTTTCAGCTATGTAGTGTTTGCTAGTCACTGCTTTGCTTGCTTTATTTTGTTAAGTTTTAGATGACTTCAAACTCAGGTACTTTTTTAATGTGCAGATGAATTTGCAATTATTAGCTGCCTGCTACTTGCAGAACAATCAAGCGTATGCTGCATATAATATTCTAAAGGGTATGCATTGTATGTTTATAATGTTTCATATTGTTGTCAATATATGATTTATCATTTCTATTATTTGTTGCCCATTTCTTGCGATTGATTTACTGCATTGTTGTTGATTGTTATTCTTTTTTTGTTTTCATTATTGTCCAAAGGAACGCAAATGGCTCAATCCCGCTACTTGTTTGCGATGTCTTGCTTTCAGATGGATCTTCTTAGTGAAGCTGAAGCTGCATTAAGTCCTGCTAATGAGCCTGCTGCAGAGGTTTTGATTTTGATTTTGTATATTTGTTTATGTATCTGCAATGTAGTTAATATGGCTTCCTTAAAGAGTTTGTTGTTGATAAATAAAATAAATTAATCGTCACTCTTAACACTCTAATTTTATAAACCAAGGAATGAAATGAGTGTATATTCAGTATTTCTTTCCCCCTCCCTGTTTTTGGAGAGGATTTTTGCAGGTTTCGTTTTTGTTTTGTTTCTGAATGACTTGCTCTCTGTTAATTGTCTATTCTATGCAGATTCCAAATGGAGCAGCTGGTCATTACCTTATTGGACTTATTTACAGGTTGCTTTCACTTTCATAAATATTGTATCATTTGATCTCCAAGGATGTATTTTACTTTGCTTTTGATGTCATTATATGGCAAGTGAGAGATACTGTTAAAAGGTTCTGCATTACCTGAGATGTCTGAAGGAACTAGTGTTGAAGTTGGGTTGAATATTTGCGCAGTTTACATCTATTCCTTAGGTTGTTCCTGCTTTATGGCAGCTGTTTCTGTGGTTTATCCAGGCATAAGTGTTGAAAGTAGATAATTTTAGTTCAGATGTCATGAAATGAGGAGCATAATCATAATTCTATGTGTATTTTTTTTTTTTTTTTTTTGTGGGTAGACCCGGTAATTGCCTCTTCCGTGACTCTAACGCAAGATCTTTGGGTATAGCTAACCCTAGTGACTATTCTTTGTGTATTTTAATCTTTTGAGTTTTGTTGTTAGTCTTACAAGTGGGTGACAGAACTGAATTTTAATTTCCTAGGACTGGTCGTCATTGAAAATATCAACCAGTCCAGTTTCAGAGATATCTGACTTTTATTCCATAAGCTGATTGGGGATTATCTCTATTCAGGTACACCGATAGAAGGAAAAGTGCCATTCACCACTTTAAGCAGGCCTTGTCTCTGGATCCTTTACTGTGGGCTGCATATGAAGAATTGTGTATACTAGGTCTGTACAAAGAAAGCTCCTCTGGTTCCGTATTTTTCATTGTTGTAGTGCAAAAGGCATAAGTAGATAAAATCTATAAGCAGGATATGATTATTTGACTCTTAAGATGATTTAATGTATCTGCATAATATTTATTTGATGATGACTTTTAAGTAAAGTTCTACTGAATCAACAATGTCATACAAATGCAACAAACTAGTTTATTTTGTCAATCTTATTGGTACACCAAGTTCATTATCTCTGAGGTGGTGTTCATTATTGTTTTTAGTGTTTTTGTTTTAAAAAAGGAAATTGAAAATGAAAATTAGAAGTTTGATTTTGTATTTGCAAATTTTGAAAGTGCATTCACTTCATTTTCTAAAAATAGTATTTGAAAGTGAAAATAGTGAAAATGTATTTGTTATCATTTTCTTAAGTTAAATCTGAAATATTGTGATAAAGTAGAGGATTAAAACATAGGAAACAACAATTTTTATGTTTTGTGTCTTCAATTTTTTAGTTATCCATCAAATTATTTGTTTCTTTTTGTTTTAGAGAAAGGAAATGATAAGTAAACAAGTATTACACATTTTAAAAGATAAAATAGAGAAAATGAAAATGAAAACAAAAACGATTGTGAATATAACCTAAACTTTTATAAGGAATTTTGCTTTATTTATAGTGGCATGTCAACAAGAAGATGCAAGATTTTACTTGTTCTCAAATTAGTATGTGATGTGTGCTGTACTAATCATTATGACTCTGCAATTCAACTTGAGGTGCTTGTTCAATTTGGTCTTTCATTGATTTTTGATGGTGAGAACTGTAGTTTTTTGTGCTGATGTGATTCAAATTGAAATTAGCCAGAGTTTGATGTAATGGAACCTAGTTCTTTTTCTGTAATTGTTAAAATGTGCTGCCTTGTTTCCCAGATATGTTTGTAAAGGTCTTTTTGGACCCTCTCTCTCTCAATTTTACTAACTACAGGTGATGAGACTTTAGTTTTAGTGCATGAATCAAGTTGTTATGTATGCTTGTGATTCAATTTTTTATTTTTTATTTTTTTGAATGTGTATTATCTTAAGACTAGTAGTAATAGTTACAAAACTTATTTAGTTTTCTTCTTAACTTCAGTTTCACAGGAAACAATTTAGTGCCATGCAATTAATTGCAGTGAGCTACTAATTCTCCGTGATTGATATCTCTGAAATTTCTGCTTTGATCAAATAAGGCTCCTTTAGTTGAATAGTACTGATTATGTATTGCTATTTGGGGCTTTTATCTTTATTTGTTCTGTTATATTTGAGTCATGGCCTCTGTTTTTGAATGGTTTAGGTGCTGCTGAAGAAGCAACTGCTGTTTTTGGTGAAGCAGCTGCTCTTTGTATTCAAAAGCAGTACTTACATCATGGATCAACATCCCAAAACTTGTACTCAATCAATGAGGATCGTAACTTAGTTTCTTCTAAAAATTGTGGTTCCGAAGATGTGAGTCCAAGGCAATTGAAAAACATGCAAACTAATAACCTGAGAGATGTCCCTGGAAATCATCATGGAGCAGCTATGTTGGCTGNATTGTTAAAATGTGCTGCCTTGTTTCCCAGATATGTTTGTAAAGGTCTTTTTGGACCCTCTCTCTCTCAATTTTACTAACTACAGGTGATGAGACTTTAGTTTTAGTGCATGAATCAAGTTGTTATGTATGCTTGTGATTCAATTTTTTATTTTTTATTTTTTTGAATGTGTATTATCTTAAGACTAGTAGTAATAGTTACAAAACTTATTTAGTTTTCTTCTTAACTTCAGTTTCACAGGAAACAATTTAGTGCCATGCAATTAATTGCAGTGAGCTACTAATTCTCCGTGATTGATATCTCTGAAATTTCTGCTTTGATCAAATAAGGCTCCTTTAGTTGAATAGTACCGATTATGTAGTGCTATTTGGGGCTTTTATCTTTATTTGTTCTGTTATATTTGAGTCATGGCCTCTGTTTTTGAATGGTTTAGGTGCTGCTGAAGAAGCAACTGCTGTTTTTGGTGAAGCAGCTGCTCTTTGTATTCAAAAGCAGTACTTACATCATGGATCAACATCCCAAAACTTGTACTCAATCAATGAGGATCGTAACTTAGTTTCTTCTAAAAATTGTGGTTCTGAAGATGTGAGTCCAAGGCAATTGAAAAACATGCAAACTAATAACCTGAGAGATGTCCCTGGAAATTATCATGGAGCAGCTATGTTGGCTGGAGCTTCTAATCAACCTTTAAATGGTGGTGCTTCAAATATTTCATTTTATAATACGCCTTCACCAGTGGCCACACAGGTACAATTATGTAAAGCTCATTTGTTTAGCCATAGCTTTGGAATGTCGTAATTGTCTTTTGTAAATATATGTTGAAAGATCGTAATGGTAACTTAGTGGATTTTCTCTGGTGACTATCCCTTGTGCATCTATGTCAATAAAGATGTTAGTTCAAATCCTCTTCTTTAAATTTTCAAAAACGTGGTTAGGCAGTGCCATGTTTCTTTTAAGGCTTGTGCCATTGACCAATCAATAGTCAATGTGCAATTCTTGATCTCTTTTCTTTGTGCCACTGTTAGTATAAGTTTGCATCTTTCTTTTTGGCTTTTGAGATGAATTGATTTAGTTAGATTTTGTTTTATTGAGTGTATATGGAGAGCATATTTTCTATTTTAGCTTTTAAATCCTTTATAGTGTAAAGATAGACCTTCAGTGTGAGTTCCTCTATATTTTGCAGTTGTCAGGTGTGGCTCCTCCGCCTTTGTGTAGAAATGTGCAACTCAATGGTCCAAACCTCAACACACTTGGTGCAGATAGCTCTCCAAGGTCAACTGTGAACTCTACTATACAGGCCCCTCGAAGAAAGTTTGTAGATGAAGGAAAATTAAGAAAGGTTTTAGATTATCTGTCAGATTTTTATTTTTTTATGTATCCTTAATGCCAGCTATGACCATTCAGATCTTGCCTCTTAAGTTCGTGTATCTTTGCATTCTTGATTCTCCTTAATCAGTATATTACCAAAACCCGGTTCATCCTCTGATATCATTTTGTATCTTTGTCCTGCATTATCTGGTTGTTGGCATGTCATAGAATATAGATGACGAGTTTGCACTCAGTGGATTACTTTGCATTATGCACTTATGTAGCATTCACGTCCTTGCTTGGTGGTTGGACTTCACTCTTTTTTGTTTGTTGAGCTTGAGTGTGATTGTTTTTTCATCTTTCTGCTTGATTTGGTAATATGGTATGTTTGATGATACACATAATTTAAGTGACAAATAATTTTGTTTAACTGCATTGTTGGGACTAGCTGATTTTAAGTTATTTCCCTTCATATTTGATACATCCGCATATTCTTTCTGGAACTAGAGATCTTTAAATACATTTTAGTGTACCTTTGTATAAATTAGAATCTCCCTTTTATTGAGTTTCTCCTCTGTCTCAGATTTCTGGGAGGTTATTTTCTGATTCTGGCCCACGACGTAGTACGAGACTTGCTGGAGAAGCAGGAAACAACACAAATGCGAGTGTCACAACAGTAGCTGGAAATGGAACTAGCAACTCTTCTAAATATCTTGGAGGTTCCAAGTTGAGTTCTGTGGCGCTTCGTTCTGTAACAGTTCGTAAAGGACAGTCTTGGGCCAATGAAAATATTGATGAAGGTGATGCATCTTCATGTGTATTATTTAATTGTGGGAACTATATCATGAAATTAAGATTGCTGGGGGTGAGAATGGCTGTAATTCAGTTACATTCCCTTTTACCGTGTTACTATTCTTTGATTTGCTGCTGGTCAATAGAGTGGTTATTTTATGCCTTTTTGTTTACTTAAATTATTTGCACCCTGAATAATGTACTTGTTAAAAAAAATTACCATAGTTATGATCTTCCATTTTCGATCCATCTATGAGAAAACCTCAGTAGAGTTTCTTGGTTGGTAATGCCAGTTTGGTTTTTAGTTCTCCATTCTTCTAACTACTTTGAATTTCAGAAATGTGTTATTACTATCAAAAACAGAGTGAAAAAATCAATCCACAATTAGTTTGGTTTATCTTCAAAATGCAGAATATGGTGAAGAAAAATAGTCTGATGCTCTTTTTATCTGTATTGGTCTATAAATTTCTGTTGGTTTCTATTATTATTTTATTGAAATTATTTGGGTCAATAAAAATGATCTCTCTGCTTGCATTCAATGTCTTGTGTGTCTGATATTCATGTGCATCTCTTTCATATTCGTTTGATTAACTTAAATTGGAATTGTAATATATTTCCAGGATGCTACAAGTGCTTAATTTGCTTTTGTTATCCTGCTCTCTTTCTTGCTTGCTGTGGCTTACTGATTATTAAGCTGTTACTTCTTTCTAATAAAAATTCTCTTTTAGGGATACGTAATGAGGCTTTTGATGATTCTCGGACAAGTATTTCTTCAACAATTTCTAGTTCTCTTCCCTGTGGTGAAACTAGAACTGTTGCACAGGAAGGATCAACTGTGCCAACTGGTGGGGTTTCCTTGAGTGGTTCTAGAGTAATAAGTGGTACTTTAGAAATATTGGGCCTCTTGAGAATTTTTGGGGAAGGCTACAGACTTTCCTGCATGTTCAGGTGCCAGGTATTATTTGGCTACCACTGAAGAAACTGAATAATGAATTCATATATTGCATTTGATTTTCTGAATACTGCTTCTGGTATTACAGGATGCACTGGATACCTATCTGAAACTACCTCATAAGCATTATATTACTGGTTGGGTGCTTTCCCAGGTAATTTTGGTAGTGTTTAATGAGTTCATTACCAATTTATTAATATTAGATGTAGTAGACAATTTGTTACGCACTGTCTAGCTGGTAATCACCTTCATTTTAGTCAGGTTATATGGAGAACGTATGCCATTTACTTAAGATTGTAACAAGATGAAGAGTTTGTCTTGCAGTAAAAGCTGAAGAAAATAAACAAATATTTTATCTTCATATATATTCCTATATGACTTGCTGTTATGTTTTTAACTTAGTCAACTACTTACTGTTCAGGAGTTAATTAAAGTCTTTTTATTGTGAAATTTTAAAACATATTCCTCCAAAAATCAGAAATGGGGTCAAACTTAATGAATCATCTATATTGTCTTTCGGAAGTTCCCATGAACTTGATTCATTGTCTACATTGTATCATTTCTATCATGGGAAATTTTTATACAACTTCCTGGTGATTAGAAATTGGACCCTTGATTTTTTTATTCAATATATTAAGCTCTATTTTGTTTTCATGTATGGTATTATATTTGTAAAAAATTTCACTCAAAAAATTTACGATTGGATTTCTATTTTTTTTTTTTTTTTGGTTTCATGTTTCGTTTTGTTTGGCGTGAGATGAAAAGATTGAAAATTATCAACCAATTTAGTATTCTTCTTAAAAGTGTCTTTTATAAAAAGAAAGCTGTGAGATGAAGAAGTAGTACAATATAAGAGATGAATTTTGTCGGGCCCATTAACCTTGAAACTGTGGTTGGTGTAAAGTGACAAAAATTTGTAACTCTTTTTTCTCCAAATAGACATAAAATTATAATTTTACTTGAAAACTTGTCATCATTGTAGAAATTAGTGGATTCTTTGTGCATTAAACCTTTTTTGTGGCCAATTTTCCATAAAATAACTTCAAGGCTACATTAAAACATCTGTATGTCTCTGACTATCTTGCATCTGAATTGAGCATTTCAAGTGCAGGTTGGAAAAGCATATTTTGAATTGGTAGATTATTTAGAAGCTGATCGGGCCTTCAGTCTCGCTCGTCGGGCATCACCATATAGTTTAGAAGGAATGGATATATATTCAACAGTTCTATATGTGAGTTGCTTTATTCTTGGAGTATTGTATATATTGAAATTGAATTATTGCTTTGGTGCTTAGCGATCTATAATCTACGCTAGTGTCCACCTTCTATTTATTTTATCTATCTCCTAAAATATGTTCAGATTACAAGTATTAAAAGATAAACTGGCATTTTGATCTATACTTTGCCGACTCATTATCTGCTTGCCTAAAAGCCGTTGATAAACATCTTTTTATTGTTCAAAATCAAATATGGAGAGGAAAGGATAGCCCCCTTCTTTGGTGACTACCGCCTTCCTTTGAGATTACCTAGAAGCGTTAATCTTTGTAATATCTCTCATAATTGGGTTTATCATGTTTAGATTTTGCAATTGAAAATCTTTTTTGTGCTGATATACTTCACTGCTTCACCCTAAGTTACTTTCCCTTCGTTTCAGCATTTGAAGGAAGATATGAAGCTCAGTTACCTTGCACAGGAGTTGATTACAACTGACCGCTTAGCTCCTCAATCATGGTTAGCTTTATGAAACCTTGTTAAATAAACAAATATTCTCAACTTGATTATTGTTATAAAACTGTTTAAACTTTGGCTTTCACCAGTGACAGGGCAATTTTCACTTTCAGAATCCTGATCCCCTGAGCTTTATGTCCGTCACTTAATTTCTTTGGTTAAATTTGCATCTATATTTAATTAGATGAATAGGCAATAAAATTTTCTTTTTCATATTAATTCTTTTACTTTTTTGAAAAAGATTTTCAGTTGTTTCCTCACCCTTGCAACCCAAAATTTGTAAACCTTCACACCTATAAAAGCTTAGCAAATTCCTCCTATTCAACTTGGCTGCTTATTTGCCTCAAATAATCTCTGCTCAGTTTAGAGCTGCTTTAAAATGGTTGTCCTTAAGAAAATATCTTGCTATATAAAAGTTGATTGATTATTTCTTCGGGTCTAATCAACTCCTTCGATGTCTCTAGGAATATGCTTTTGAACAAATTTAATAATTCCAATGCCTAAAACCTTTACTAGTCTCTGCTGCATTTTTTTAGGATTTCTTCTTGTTGTAATTATCATTGTTCCTTATATTTATTGATTGGATGGGGATGCAGGTGTGCAATGGGAAACTGTTATAGCTTGCAGAAAGACCATGAAACAGCTCTTAAAAATTTCCAGCGAGCTGTGCAACTGAATCCAAGATTTGCATATGGACACACGCTTTGCGGTCATGAGTATGGCACAGCTATAATACTCATTATAATAAACATCTTTAGTTGATTGTTAAGTCAATCTTTGTAAAACTTAAGCTGTTTATTGAAAATTTGAAATCACATTTTCACTGCAGATATGTAGCTTTGGAGGATTTTGAAAATGGAATCAGGAGCTACCAGAGTGCCCTTCGGGTTGATGCTAGACATTATAATTCGTGGTATGGGCTTGGGATGATCTTTCTTCGCCAAGAGAAGTTTGAGTTTTCAGAGCATCACTTTCGAATGGCTTTCCAAATAAATCCACGTTCTTCTGTTATAATGTCTTATCTTGGAACTGCTTTGCATGCCTTAAAGGTTGGGCAACTTGCTATATTGGCTATAACATCTTGGCATGAGGAAGCTTATTTTACCGTTGTACAAGTTTTTGATAATTTATTTGTGTTATGTAACAGAGAAGTGAAGAGGCTATTGAGGTGATGGAGAAGGCTATATTAGCAGACAAGAAAAATCCTCTTCCCATGTATCAGAAGGCTAATATACTTGTGAGCTTGGAAAATTTTGAAGAAGCCTTAGAAGTCCTAGAGGAACTTAAAGAGTATGCCCCTCGTGAAAGTAGCGTGTATGCATTGATGGGTAAGATCTATAAGCGGCACAATATGCATGACAAAGCCGTGCTTCACTATGGTCTTGCTTTGGATCTGAAACCTTCTGCAACTGATGTTGCTACCATTAAGGTGATTGACTTGAATGCTTGTACATCTCGGTTAATTGCACATTATTATATCATTTTCATCCATGCTTATCAACCTTGGAAATCTTTGAACAGGCTGCCATCGAAAAGTTGCATGTACCAGATGAATTAGAAGACGACCTATAAATCAACTTGCTTGAGATGTCCAGAGAAAGAGAACATGTAAATTGTCCGGCCCCAGGGAATTGGCCTACTTGTGCTTTCGATGAGTAGTGGATAAATTAGCTGAAAAATTTCTGGAAGCATATTCGTGCGGGCACCTTCTAACCTGTGAGAGTAACCTTAGTTTTGTAGGTAATTCGCATACTAATGGAACAAAGGTAGTAAAGCTGCCACACTTGTATGAATAGTTATATTACTTTACATTCTTTAAAGAAAAAGGCTTGTGTCATTAGTTTGTACTTGCTTATAATTGTATTTTGTTTGACTCATCTTGATTCGCGAATGCAAGGAATTTAGAACACAGCTTCATAACTTAACTGTTGTTCTGACCAGATTGGAATTAGTGGAATTTATATTCCGAGAAGAACTGCTCTACTTAGCAATGAGAAGCCCTTGCTGCTGTATTCGACCCAACTCCTGAAGGTAAGGGGGCAATGAATTAATTTTTAAACCCATAAAATAAAAGTGATTAATTAAAATAAAACCTCACCAAGTTACAAGTTAACTAGGGAGTAAGATGGATAATATGAAAATTTTGGTCTGTTGGTTTGAGAACTTTGTTCCATTCGCATTCAGTCCACCTTTCGTCAGGCAAGAAGTTTGATTTTTGCCACGAAGTACTATTAGTATTTCAATAGTGACCCATGACCCCTACCAAACTAGAGCAAGGTTATAATGAAATTCAAGGCTCGAGTTTAGTTAATTCTTTTTTAATTATTTAATAGGATATCCTGTCAGTTAACGGCCAATAACCTTTATTCCCCTTTCCCAACGAATGAGACTGCACTGCCCAGCGTCTGCTCCCACGCGCTTTCTTTTCCCACTTAGGATTTTTCTGCGCTTGCCGGGACTCGAACGCGGGTGCACGGGGTGGAAGTCTGGCTCTGATACCAATGTAACTGAAAAGGATTGATTTACAGGATCATTCATGCTAGTGTTACACATGATCGAGTATATTAATAACATTCAAGAACATAAACATGTTATTAATAGAAGAGAATTAAAACTAACCTCTTTAACCTCTTTAAGTCTTTGCAAGAGTAGAGAGTGAACAAATTCTTTGAGAAATGTTTAGTTTTATTTTCTCTCAATGAAACTAAGATACAACCTCTCGTTTTATAGTCGAGAGTTAAGGCAGGATTTCAAACGAGTTTGAATCTGCCGACAACTTTTACAAAAGTCAAAAAGTCTACAGTTTACTTTTTGACAAAGCAAAAACAACAACAAAGCATTGGGGTCTACTGTCTCCCAATTGTCAAAAGATAATTATTACAAATATTCCGCCTTTTGATACACGTAAGCGTTTACGTGTTGATCATATAGGTTGATCAAATCTCCCTTTTTCTGGGCGTAGGATGAGCTGGGCCGCTCCAACGAGTCCAAAAACCCGAAAGAGTTTCTTCTGAGTCCATCTTAGCTCTTCTTGGGCTAGAATGGGCCTGAGAATATCTTTCGTACCTTCCATCAAGGTTGTTTAGAAATATAGGCGAGCTCAAAGCCTTCCGCCAAAACTTTAATCCGAGCCTTGTTTTGTCTAAAAAGAGGTCCTGAACTTTGGCATATTTGATCGGAAGAACGACAATAATTCCTTTGTCTAAGTGAACTAATGCGTCTTCAGAAAGGAGTTGGTTCAGTTTGGATTTTACCTGCATCATCTTGGTAATATGCAGTTTGTCCAAATCCATTCCTCTTTTCCAGTTTTCTTTTTAATTCGTGTCAGCCAGCTCCCCATTATAATATGTTCGTCTGCAAAACCATCGTACCATGGTTCACCTACAATGAATTCCCATATTGTACGGTTGGATAGCTTCTCTTCCTGCAATGTGGAAGTAATTATGCAGGTAAAGGTGTTAATTCTCCTGTCAAGTACACAGAGCGTTTGTTTAACCGCGCTGGAATTCCAGGGTCCACCATAGCTTCCTGTACGTCAATTGTAAGAATGTCGATCCATCCTTTCTGTAAAGATCCTTAAAGAATCCTCTTTTAAAGAGTTCCCATGGAACGAACAATTCCATAGCACCATTTAAGAATACAGATAGTCCTTGAAGTAATTCCTTCAAATCTGTTTTCTCAAAGTGAGCTATAGCTCATCCAAAGTGATTAACTTGAGATAGTGCATCTCAAACATGGAAATGTGATCCATTGTACAATCTTTTGGTTATAGATTTCCGAAGAATTGGTTTTCCAAAATTTTCCTCTTCTTCGTAGTACAGTTATCCTCTTCAAGCCATGCAAGCTCCTGAAATTCTGAAGTAGAGAATCAAGCTCGACATGTCCTTTCCCTAAGGCCAGGGCAACACGACATTGGCTTTCTAAATCTCCAGAGATTTTCACTAGCTTGAGTAGATTAATTCCTTCAGGGAATGTGAATGATCCATGAAGTCGTGCTGTAGTTTAGCAGTACCAACAACCTGTTGTTGTTTAACAGTCTGCTTTCCTCTGTTTTCCTGGTGTTTTTTGTACTAGATTCAAAGTAGCAGAGTTCGCGTAGAGCTTGGTGTAATCACCATGCTGGCTGCGTAGTCCTTCTGATACTTAGGGTTTGTCGATCAGAAGTATCCGTATCCAGTGAGATAGCTGACCTGGAACGTATAATTCCCGCAAATCAATAGTTGAAGCCTGCCTTTTTGAGCAGTAACCTGTTGGTTTACAGATTTTTCTTTGAGCAGTTGTTACCTGTTTAATCACAGTATTCGTTTCCTCCATAGGAGTATCCTGCTTCAAAGACTTCCTGGAAGGGCAATTCCTCCTGGATGACCTCTCAGTTTGCATTTTGAGCAAGAGAAGAGACTTCCAGTCCTTTTTGTCCATTTGAATTGCTGATTTTTCTGCATGCGAGACAAAAAGTCAGCGATAAAATTAGATTTACCAGGTAAGTATTCAATCTTAAGCGATATTCCGCAAACCAGATTTGCCACCTAATTAATCTAGTTTTATCATCCTTTAAAGACAATTTCATAAATGTAGTTAAATATTTAGAATCTGTCCTTAAAGTAATTCCTGACTGATTACGAACAAACGAAATCTATCAGTACATTCTTTCGCAGCTAAAACTTCCCTTTCATGAGTGGGATATTGATTCAGCTGGAAGGAATTTTCCTGATGCATATCGAACAATCCGTCAATATTATCAGTTTCCTTGGCTTTAAGCAACCTCCCCAAAGAAACTCAGATGCATCACTTTCAATAATCAAGCGATCTTCATCTTGAGGGAGTGATAAAGGTTTTAAGTGCTTAGTCAAGTTTTTTGTCCGGATAAACACAGTTAGTATCCTCTTTGTCCAAGTCCAGGGGACTTTAGAGCTAACTTTCCTTGTTAACGTTTTAAAACCTCGGCTATTTAGGGACATATTCCCTCATTTGATTAGCGAGTCCAAGAAACTGTTGTAACATATGCTTATCTTCAAGCATATTAGGAAAATCCAACAATTTCTTTGAAATGTGATCTTGGAGTTGGATTCCTCCTTCTCCAAATTAACACCTAAGAATTTAATCTTTGGAACCACTCTACTTTCGTTCAGATAGATCATCCCATGATCAAGGAACCTTTTGATTACCTGTCGAAGATGATTTTTATGTTCTTCCTTAGTTTTACTAAAAACTAAAACATCATCTACATAGACAGTACAAAAGTCAGATAAGTCAAAGAAACCTTATCCATTTTCCTTTGAAATATGGATGGCGCTTGCTTAAGTCCAAAAGGCAAGACTAACCATTCATATAACCCTTTAGGACATGTAAATGCCGTTAAAGGTATGCTATCTTCTGCCATTCGATTTGCCAAATCCTGACTTAAATCAAAACGAGAGAAGATTTTTCCAAATCTAGCTATTTAACAAAGCTGATCTGTTAGGGATTATATCCATCGCTATAGTTTTTTCATTGAGTTGCCTATAGTCGATTACCATACGAGCTTCTCTAATCTGCTCAGCTCTATTCATAACCATAAAGGCTGGCGAAGAGGTGTGGACTTTTACTTTCTCGTATTAATCCCTTAGAGAGTAACCCGGTATTTGCTTTCTAAATTCTCTTCTACATCCGGAGAGTACCTACGAGATTCTGATTTAATATATCATCAGGGTTTCGTGTTTTAGAACAGCAAAGATACCGTTCCTTTCCCATAGCTTCAATGGTTGATCATCGAAACTGGAGAAAGTTCCTCTTTATTCCTTGATTTCATCCTCAAGAATTAAAGGTTAACACAGCTCTTGTTTACAAGAGTAATCTCCTTCTGTGTTAAATCATCCGTGCTCTCAAGGCATGCACCAGAGGGGTTTTCCTCCTGCGATATACCTCGTGCGATCCGGTGTGAAAGATGAAAGGATATAACCTCTGTAAGTAAACATACAAGCTTCCTCATCCCAAACCTTAGAACTTGCAAAACCATTTCTCCGTTGAAATAACAGGAAAAAATATGTGATCTGATTCTTGCCGTTTCGTTGAGGTCGAAACCCATAACGAACTTTATTAATTTCCGGCTTTGCAAGGATTGGGATAGAATGTCCTCCAAGTAAATAATCATTATCTGGACGAACGGCCTCACTTCTGCTGTCCTCTCAGAAATGAGTTTCCAGAATAAAGTCAACCTCTAAGTAATCCATAAGTAGGACTTCCCTTAGAGTAAACTTTTTCTTGTTAACAATATGACTACGTCCTGGACAAATTCCGTAATCATATTTTGACCTCCATCTGCAACTGTATTCATGTAGGCTTTTCAAGCTGTTCCATATTCTTCTGGAAAACATTGCTTCCGCGCTATACATTTCGTTGACCTGTATCTACCAGAATACCACTGTAATGGTTCATATTCCGGGAAATAAAGTTCCGCTCTATAAAAGTATCAATAGTTCTTGTATAGTGCATGACAATGAACTTTTCGACTCATTATCATTCGCGTTGTTGGAGTATCGTCTTCATATATGGGATTTGAACACACTTATAACCGATTATCTTCTTGAAGAAGTTCACTTCCTGCTGTGCTAGAGTTCATCGATTTTGTCTTTTTCCAGCATATTAATCCTTGGTTTTGGTCGAATAACCTCTTACCTCGATCCGAAATAGAATTTGGGAGTAGGAGAGTAACCTCAACCTGATCACCAAGTTCCTCAATGTGAATTCCCGACCGATGTGTTAATTCCACCACGCTGGGTTGGGTGTAAGTAAGAATCCATCGTTTGGGCCAAGTGAGTTGCTGAGCATTACACTGCAGCCGAATAGGAATTATTGAGTTTTCGGTTGG